ACAAAAACATATGAGGATTTATCCTACCTAATATGGTATTTCCTTTTCCCAAGATGTGATGCCCAGTATCCCGACTTCCAGAACCGGTACCCGTCCATTTCTTTACGGCTGTCGCAGAAGGGCGTGTATCCGTAGGGAGCTCCATTCAGATCCAGATCTCTGAGTTCTTTTAGGTCACTTCTCACAATCTAAATAAAAATATCTTTATTTTTATAATTTAATACTATTTTTAAGGCATGTATTTGAGAGTGGTTATCGCAGCAAGCTTCCCAAAGTTTAATTTTAATTTAAAAAAAAACAACTAAGACACTACAACAGTGAAGTACAAATAAAGATTTCCACTTGGAATAGTATTTACCATATTATTGTTCAAGGAAAAAAGAAGTGGTTATTCTGTGGCCATCTGTGTAGCACATTTAATAAGTAAATTAAATAAAAGGAGCAAAGTATTTTTAATTCATGGACCAATATTCCCGGTTGCTCAATATTAAATTCCTTCATGCAAGAGTGTAACTTTCAAAATCTACTGAGCATCTCCCTTCTAAAAAATCCTTCTGTGATTTGCATCAAATTGCATCGTTTGAAAAATCTTTGTATCTAGTAGTGAAGTACTTTTAAAAATTGGTTATGAGGACATTTTACAAATGCCCTTTGTTTACTAATCAATCATTCTTCCATCAAATCCCACTAATCTAATTTATCAGTGGTAAAAAAAAGTTTCATCTGTTTTGGAATACAGAGAAATCCTTACAGTAAGTAGTTAGGACGGACAATGAACATTTCTACTGTAGCCAGATGAAACTGTAGAAAGTTACAGTCTGCTTTGCTACATCCAAATTTAATTTATTCTCAAGCGTTGGAAAAGGACAAGAAATACGTAATATTTGTTCTGAGGTTTTCAATAATCATGTGATGCACTCTTCAATGTCTTGTCACTTCAAGACAGCATGTTACCTTTCAGTATATTATACAATATTCATTTCTGAGTGAAAGACTGCATACAAGTTCAAGAAAAAAAGTGAGAGGATTAATAGTGAAAAATTTCAGCCGTCTAGAAGTTGTTCAGATGGTCTAAACTAATCACCTCAGACTCCTTCCATACTGGAGAAGTCCTCTCGCAATCAGCCCAGAGTCAATCACTCAAATATGCCTTAGGTGAAATGCCTCTCTCCACAGGCAACTTAGGGCAGCTCAGTGTGGTGCTCTTAATTTCTACACGACTAAAGACAAGTAAAATGACTGTATTACATGTTCTGCAACACCACTGATTCTGCTCGTACAACTGCATTAGTCTTACAGGAACAACATCTCAATAAAATGGCCACAGAGAATGAAACGGGATGAATTTAAGCCAAAATGAATTCCTCATACATTTCATAGAATCATAGAATGGTTTGGGTTGGAAGGGATCTTGAAGATCATCAAGTTCCAACCCCCCTGCCATGGGCAGGGACACCTCCCACTAGAGCAGGTTACTTAAAGCCCCATCCAGCCTGGCCTTGAACACCTCCAGGGATGGGGCATCCACAGCTTCTCTGGGCAACCTGTTCCAGTGTCTCACCACCCTTATAGAAAAGAATTTCTTCCTGAGATCTAATCTAATTTATACAGCATTATTTTTTCTTACCTGGTCAGCATCGACAAATATTATTTTATCCACAGCCAAAGGGAAAAGAACGTCCAAAAAAAGAATTTTGTAGCCCCAGATAATCCTTTGTTTCTCTGCCTGTTGATAAAGCCAGCGGGGCCATTTATACTGTACTAACTCATACTTGAAACCATACTTTTTAGCCATATGAGGAATAACATCCTAGAAAAAGAACATAAATCCTATTAGTTGCACAAGTATGCAACACACGAGGACTCAAAAGGACAAAGAATGAACATTTGCAACACAATTGCAGCTGTATTTGCCTTACTAACTACATAAATTAGTATTTTAAAATGTTATTTTTTAGTTCTAGCAGTATCCTCAACTACACAAATATAAAAGCATTTATTTAAAGTTCTGGGAGACTATCAGAAGAGAATAAATTATTATAATATATCACTGGGCTTTGGGCTCCAGAAAAGAACTACTTTACTCATGAGACTTTCAAAACCAATAGTATTTAATATGCATTCAGAGATCATTTCCAACTGTGAAAATTTAATTTACATTATATAATTATTCAAGTGTAATTTTTTTTAAAATCCTACTTAAAATTTTTAAGAAAAACAATAAAAGGAAGACATTTCTCCTACCTTAAATGTTGGAGACAGATAGTTTTTCAGAAACCAAAATTTAACCGGTGTTTTTGTATGACGTAGGACAGAAAGCATCATAATTCTGTGGAAATATAAGTCTATAATAAACAAACAAATACACACAGGTCATTAAATTTCAACTCCACCTAAAAGGTGCTAGAGCTTTCTAAGTATAATTTTCTTTAACCCAGTTTAAGCAGAAATTTCTGTCTATTTCAAATAAAAAGCTTTGAAGAGCATGTCTCCAAGATGGGTTTATTCAATCCAGATTGGCTAAGCAACATTAGAAGGAACAATTTCAAAAGTGGATCTGTTAACAAGTTTTATTCTGAGAGGTGCCTGACAAAATTAGAATACCAATTAATACCTTATATTAACTTGGCAACTGAGATAACCAATGTGTTCTAAAATAAGTTGAGTTTAATAAGGTTGCTGAAAAGAAAAGCAGTGGGAAATAGAAAGCATAGATCAAGTTAAGATTCTCTTCAGAAAAGCCTTGGTAACTGCAAGAATCACTATTTTGGGTTCTTTTTTTTTTTTCACTATTATGGCATTTGTTTGGTGTAGCCAGACAGATAAGCAACGCCTTACAACTTTACGCAAGGTCAAATCTGCCTTAAAAATCAAGAAGTAATAAAGTGAGGTAAAGAAGTATGTAGGATGTTTTAATATTGGGGGTTTTTTTCTCCTTTAGAATAAATGAGTCTTTCCTTTTATGAAGGTTGTTGTAGGTTGAAGGAGAGAAATGCCGATGTTCAAACCGCATCGGATTACTAAGAAATAAAAATCAATACATACAAAAATGCTGCTTTCCAAATAAATATGCATGAACGAATTGTGAAATTCCACGTTAGGATAGGAAAACCCCTACACCTGACACCTGCAGACAAGCAGTCAAATCAGAAAAGTAACAGAGCTGGTTGTGACCAGATTAGGCTGTACTGTAAGATTTCCTTCAAAGCAATCACTGCTCATTGAATGAACACTGAAGTAAGGCCATACGTGCGTGTAGGAGTACCCACAGTTTGAACTAAACATAGATACAGCTCTAATGAAGCCACTTCTGCCATGTCTTTATAAAGAGATGCTGAATTTCATCTTTTGTGTTCACACTTCACACATGCACTCATGAAAGACACAAGAGAACATTTTTCTTTCTTCAAAGGATAATGGCGTTTTTGAACATCTATACATCAAATCACTTTGTTCTCAAACAAAGATGAATTTAGTCCTCACTGTATACAACTTTTCTGTGCTTTGACAATTTACTTGTTAAAAAAGTAAGTTTCTTTTAGCTGCTTAGTTTTCGGATGAAAGTTTGCAGTATTGCTATGAAATTCTTGTTTCCCTTTAACTTTTCCTTACCTTAAAAAACGTTCATACAAATGACCTGAAGCGACTGAAAAAATGTTAAGAATATCACTTTTCTTTTCCTTCTCCTCTGCTGGAATGTCTTCTGAAAATCTAATAAAAGAAAGACCCTCAGATTATTATATAAAGTAAACATTCAGCAGAAAGAAAATAGTATGTCATTACCATTAAGCTCATAAAAGAATCAAAACTAAGAATACACACAAAAGAAGTATTTTTTAAAAACCTACTTAAAATTTTTAAGAAAAATAATAAAAGGAAGACATTTCTCCTACCTTAAATGTTGGAGACAGATATTCTTAATGCTTATCCTATAGGAACTAAATACACCTATATTTTATTCCCATTGCACATGCCTGTGATACCAAAATCTTTTGGAAGCAACACCTTATACCCAGTCGCTCAGGACAAATGATGGCACAACTGCAGCCTCCAATATTTTCAAACAAAGAGAACCCAAATTTGGCAAGAACTCCACATAGCAAAATAATCAGCAATACACAGAGCCAGAATATCTTGAGAAGTGGTCATTTTTAAAATAGGCAACAGTTTGTTTTTTTTTTTCACGCTTCATATATGTGCATTCTGCATCAGAAGAACCAATGCATATTCTTGAGCTAAATTATGTCTGCAGAGCCCCGTAAGTGGTTGAGTTGAATATATACTCTAAAATACAGAATGAAGATAATATAAAGCTGGCCACACCAGCCAAACCACATATTTAGCCCAGTACCTTAAAAACAGCAAATGACAAGGCTCAGGAGTAGTAGCTTGTTGCAGAATGCTCTCATAACATTCAATGGTCTGTGGTGGTGAGATTTCCTGAGTGTTTTTCATAATACTTGCTGAGTTCTTCCTTAAATTAACGCAATTACTCTCCCGCAAAACTACCCTATATCTGAGGACGCCTGTCCAGAGGTTTTCTGTTTCTGCTGTGGGTGATGGTTTTTGGTTTGGTTGTTGTTGTTGTTGTGTGTTTAGGGGGGGGGTGGTATTTTTTTTGTTTGTTTTTGTTTGTTTTTTTTTTTTTGTGGTTGGACTCGATCTCTGAGGTCCCTTCCAACCACTATGATTCTGTGATTCTGTGTGATTATTTAGTATTTATGGCCCAAACGATGTGGAACAGCTGGTTGTGTCTGAGGTCCAAGAATAGGACACCTCTCAATTGTCTCATAGATGCTGGCATGAAACAAAAGATTTTATCCTCTCAGTGTCACTCCTGTGTAAAGCAGCATCACACGACTCTTCAAACCCACACAATTTCTCTACGACCAAGGGAAATTACACATATACAATATTTGTGCCTACTGACTCCAACCTTCATTTCAATATATTCATATTTATTTTTTAAAAGCTAACAGATTAATATTCAGGTAAATTACCTTTCTGAAAGAACGATGTTAGATTTTTCTTCTTTTTTTCAATTTGCTGTATTAACGTTCGTATCTCAGAGTCATAGTCAACCCATTCGGGAACTATCCGCGCCGCAGCCTTTAGTTTGGGTTCTTTGGTTTGGGGGTTGTTGCACTGAAAATTTAAAACATACGAGATGTAAATGAAGCAAATGTGAAAATATCACCTTTCCAATGAGCTTACCTAAACTAATTTTTGTCAGCATTTATAATTGCATTGAAGGGCAGTGTGCAAGGTCAGTTAACTCGATATTAATAATTTTTTAAAAAAATAAAAAATTAAATCACATGAACCAAATCGTAAGTAAACCCTGTTTAAAAAACTCAAACCATTTTATTGTAAATGCTGTTACTTCTCCATATGCTCCTGACTGTATGGATAGCAGAGACATGACTACTAAGTTATACAGGGAGATACAAGATACACATAAGCACATTGATATTAAATCTGATGTTTTTTATTAAGTTTGTGATGCTTCCTCTAGTGTTGTTTAGAAAATGTATTGATTACGTCCGTAAAATCACATGAATAGAAATCCTAATAAAAAGTGATACATGATAATGGGGATCAGAAGAAGGTCTAGTAACTTAATTTCAGTCTTTTGTGAACAGAGAGCACTCGTCTACAGTGCACCAAAAAAAGCTTATTTTAAAAACTGTAAAGACACAAAGAAAACAAAACTATTTACATACTGAATTAGTTGCACCAGCTTCCAACTGTCTGTTTTTCATCAGAATTATGTCTCTGAAATATCACTTACAGTGCATGGGGGATGTCAAAAAATGAAAATGGGGAAAAAAGGAGATAAGGTAATAATGACAGAGAAGAACATTTTCTCTCCCTGTTTCCATTCCCAAAGAAGGACACTTTGTTCTTTCTAAATAAGGACAGTCTCCTCAGAATTAGTTTTTAAGCTCTGCTTTATCTCCTGTTTATAGTGTGGAAATGGACAGAGAAAAGCAACATAATATTAAGTCCTCTACACAGAGGGTTCTGGAGGAACCTCCTGGGTAGGAAGCACAAGAGCAGCACACAGTGCCCAGACAATTAACAGTAATTCATCAGTGTTCCACTAACCTGGCTGAACATGGGGAAAAAAGATAAGGAAAATACATGCACAGGTGTGAAAAACCCCAATCCTGTCCACTTAAAAGGAGCAACATTCAATTTTGGGGTACAGTTTTCAGCTTCAACATAGGCAAATTTGGTACAGAAGAAGCAGAAGAGGTCTTGGAGGAAAGAAGAAAAGTTGCTGTATTGTAGGGGAAGGGAAGTAGTGTTCCAGTGCCTTCAAGAGCATATTTCAAAAACCACAGGAATTAAAGCAGAGTTTTTTAATCTAGAAAACGAATTTAACTCAAAAGCAACTCACCAAGTCTATTGTTTTAGCCTTTTTCTTGGACTCATCATCACACCAGGTTTCACACCAAAGCCACTCCTGAGGGAGAGACTTAATGGCTACTTGATGAATCATATTATTGGGAAGATCCTGTAGAAATTTTGTAAAATCATAAGTTAGCATTGCATTTGATGTATCTGGTTATCAAGCAACTACTTAAAAACAGAATATCTTTGCCTATTACCATTTCTACAAATTGTTCTTATATTATTTCCTCCTTCTTATGTTTCCTTTTTTACTTAAATTTTCCTTTTTTTTTTCCCCCATTGTTTTGCTTTTGAAACCTTTACTATGTAGTCATGTACTCTCATGAAAACTCCAAGCCAGTCTCTTGCTGAAAGCAGGGAACAGCATTTACAAATGAGAAGGAACCTCAGGAGGTCACAGGCTGCTGCACGTACTCTGGCCGTGGTGAAAAATAACAGGTATAATTGGTAGATCCATTCGTAAGCTCTTTCACTTCTGCAACCCCTACATTACACTTCCAAAAAAATCAATTTCAGCTCTCAAATAAGTATTGGTTACTTCTTATTTTGCCCATTCACTTTACTAAATGTGACAGAATAAACCAGCACATATAGCTGCATTATGAAAAGCGTGTAATTTAACACAAATAGAGAAATTAGTGCACAAAAATTACATCAAATAGAAGTACACAGAGAGTGCCAAGACATTAAACATCGATTTAAATTCTTTATTTTTTGAAAAACTTCAATTCTACGAGTTTTTGGAAGACAAAATAAATGGTTTATCACCATCTCAATTTCAAGAGAAGAGAGACTGGTCTTCTGTTGTGTCTCTCTGACTTTTCTAAATGAAATCAGAATTCCTGAGTAACTGCAGTAACTCGCAAAGTTGTGAATTTACAACTTGTTATATGGAGCAAAAAGTAGAAAGTCAGCTGCTAGATCTAGGATTTAAAGTAAATAGAAAAAAAAATCTAAACAAAAATTTGCTTATCCTTTCACAATAAAGTGTTTTATCCTCAAAACCACTAAAATACATCTAGAAGATGAAAGGGGAAATATTCATGAATCAAAAAAATAAATGAACAAAGGTAAGAAGAGATTGTTTACTGCCAGTGCCAAAATTCTTGTTTATTCAAAATATGTAAACTGCTGAAATGAAAGTCTTCTAGATTTTCACAAACAACATTTCAAAGTTGTGCTTCAAGTTGATTTACAATGCGACTCTTTTCACATTTAGTCAAATAAATAACCTACAGTTTTAAAGGGGAACTCCTCTGCAGCACCATCTTTATTAGAAAATAAACTCTCAATTTAAAAATAGAAAAACATCACCTCTTAATAAAAGAATTAGTCTTGTATTCTTCTCTTCTGATTTTTATTCTTTAAGTAAAGAACAAGATGGTTAATTTTCTGTTTTTAATGAATTGCTATTAGTATAAATGTTCGTCAAGTATTTGTTTTGTCATCTACACAGACATTTCCACGCTTCTCTTTAAAATGTACAATTAAATACACTGTACTAGAAGTCTAGTTTTTATCATGTGCAATTTTTCTCCCTAGGAGCTCTTTACTTGCTCTCCTTGGCATTTAAATTTTTTTTCCACTCTATCTACTTCTATTTTGTGGTGTATATTGGCATAACCTTAGCTACTACCCGTGAAGGCATCAGTGCTGGCAGATGAGCCAAGAGCTGAGATTGCTGCTTCTTTGAGAAGGGCAATGAACACTCCAGCCAGATAATTAAAATAAGAAGAAAAAAAAATTATCATAATGCACACTTATCAGTAGGTAAAAACTCTCCAGGACTCTTGTAAAATATATTGCACTGTGGTTTGTATTTCCAGGAATGTTGCTGTATTTGGTGGAAGAAGTAGCAATGAAGACAGAGAGTGATTCCTATCAATACTGTCAGAGAGTAGATAACTGCAAAAATATTACTTTGAAATATTCCCCTTTCCAAATAATTCCAATTCTGTTCTGCCAAGATTTAGCTGCCTTAACCTCTGCTCTCAGCGCTGATGTGCTGAGGGATCCAACAGACTTGTTAAGAGATATATATGGTGTCATGTATTAATACTGCAATCGAAAACAAAAATCTTAAAAATAATACATTATTAATATTTTGAGCACATTAGATTAAACTAATTACTATTACTGAAAAGCAACATTATGGTGGAAGCCCTGTAACGAGCTTAAAGGTCTTTCTGAAAGACACCTTGCAATATGGGCAGGAATATATTTGAAAAACATCCAGCTGTATCACATCAGGACCCTTAAGTGTGTGACACAGGCCCAACACGTCATTCTGTTGCCCAGAAAAGAGGTAAAAATCTGACTCTTGATGTTGTATCAGTCTTTTGCTCTTCACAGCTACAGCTTAAGGCTGTAGTTCAAGTTTGTAGTGTAGCTGTATTTCCACTTTTCTTTGTCCAGCATTGTAAGAACTGCTATTTTCAATTTTTAGTTTTATTTCTGGAAAAATTGCAGGTGGTAATAATCTACTTATGTAAGCGAGAAGAATTTCCTTGCAGAATAAGGGGGTGGGATTCAGGCACAGAGAGATGTGGGCTTTGTTGCTGTAGGATCCCTTTACAGCTATCGGCAGGTAAAAACCTTTTGTGCTTTAGCAATTCCACAAGGAAAATTATGAAAGCAGGGACCATCTCACTTATGAAGCCTTCTGAAGTTCCCCCAAAGAGAGACACAAATAAAAGGCATCATTTACACAGGCAGAGATCAGACAAGCTGTGTTATCAATCTTCTACTGAGTTTAAGAATCTCCACTACAGAAGAAAATAATAAATTTAAGTATGTTCTGTACAGCTGGGATCTACTTACTTGTGACTTGCACCCTGACTTACCTGACCTACCTTTAAAAATTGGTGGAGTTACATAAATGAAGACCTACAGTCACCCCAGGGTGAGGATGTTCTGGGATCTACTTACATACTTGTGACTTGCACCCAGACTTACCTGACCTACCTTTAAAAATAGGTGGAGTTACATAAATGAAGACCTACAGTCACCCCAGGGTGAGGATGTCCAGCAACCAGTAGAGTGTGTTAGCAGTTAGCTTACAAAAATTAAATTTACATTGATGGAAAAAAAGAAGAGGAGGAAAAAGCTCTTGCTAAATAAGAATATAATTACCATTATCAGAATATAGGATTAGCATTAGAAAAACACAAATGCACATAGAACAACTAGAAATAAAGGATGGCAGTCCACTATGCTGTTTTCTCCTATTTTTTTTCATATTAAACAATTACTTGAAGTAGTCATCATTTAGTGTTCAGTTTTCTGAACTGTGCTCATATGCATAGCTGAGAATGTGCTAAAATAGCAGTAAAGGGCCAATAGTTTCAGAATTACGTATCTCAGTGTGTATGTTACAAAATGATTCCATGCATATTGAGAAAGATAACGAAAATAAACCCCAAATTGCTTAAAGCCATATATACCTGATCTAGATTTGACAGGCTGTTTGGATCTTGACTAAGAGCCTGGTACTGGCCCCGAAGCCTGTCTCCTGCTGCAATCTTCCTGAACTTCTTAAGATCCACAACATATAAGGCACTACCAAAGACAAACAAAAGAATTAAGTCTTGTGGAGTTTCACCTTCTTTTTTGATAGCATTAATAAAAGTAACAAGAAACCAAAACCTGTTCCCGTCCTAAAAGGAATTTTTTTTTTAATTAAGTGGCTGAAGCTACAATAAAAAAGCAAAATCAGTATGTCATCAGAATTCATGCCTTGGTGATTAACACCAAGACCCAGATTTAAATCAAATTGACAAACTGCACAAAAACATATGAGGATTTATCCTACCTAATATGGTATTTCCTTTTCCCAAGATGTGATGCCCAGTATCCCGACTTCCAGAACCGGTACCCGTCCATTTCTTTACGGCTGTCGCAGAAAGGTGTGTATCCGTAGGGAGCTCCATTCAGATCCAGATCTCTGAGTTCTTTTAGGTCACTTCTCACAATCTAAATAAAAATATCTTTATTTTTATAATTTAATACTATTTTTAAGGCATGTATTTGAGAGTGGTTATCGCAGCAAGCTTCCCAAAGTTTAATTTTAATTTTAGAAAAATCAACTAAGACACTATAACAGTGAATTACAAATAAAGATTTCCACTGGAATAGTATCTACCATATTATTGTTCAAGGAAAAAAGAAGTGGTTATTCTGTGGCCATCTGTGTAACACATTTAATAAGTAAATTAAATAAAATGAACAAAGTATTTTTAACTCATGGACCAATATTCCTGGTCGCTCAATATTAAATTCCTTCATGGAAGAGTGTAACTTTCAAAATCTACTGAGCATCTCCCTTCTAAAAAATCCTTCTGTGATTTGCATCAAATTGCATCGTTTGAAAAATCTTTGTATCTAGTAGTGAAGTACTTTTAAAAATTGGTTATGAGGACATTTTACAAATGCCCTTTGTTTACTAATCAATCATTCTTCCATCAAATCCCACTAATCTAATTTATCAGTGGTAAAAAAAAGTTTCATCTGTTTTGGAATACAGAGAAATCCTTCCAGTAAGTAGTTAGGACAGACAACGAGCATTTCTACTGTAGCCAAATGAAACTGCAGAAAGTTACAGTCTGCTTTGCTACATCCAAATTTCATTTATTCTCAAGCATTGGAAAAGGACAAGAAATATGTAATATTTGTTCTGAGGTTTTCAATAATCATGTGATGCTCTCTTCAAATGTCTTGTCACTTTAAGACAGCATGTTACAAAAAAAAACAACTAAGACACTACAACAGTGAAGTACAAATAAAGATTTCCACTTGGAATAGTATTTACCATATTATTGTTCAAGGAAAAAAGAAGTGGTTATTCTGTGGCCATCTGTGTAGCACATTTAATAAGTAAATTAAATAAAAGGAGCAAAGTATTTTTAATTCATGGACCAATATTCCCGGTTGCTCAATATTAAATTCCTTCATGCAAGAGTGTAACTTTCAAAATCTACTGAGCATCTCCCTTCTAAAAAATCCTTCTGTGATTTGCATCAAATTGCATCGTTTGAAAAATCTTTGTATCTAGTAGTGAAGTACTTTTAAAAATTGGTTATGAGGACATTTTACAAATGCCCTTTGTTTACTAATCAATCATTCTTCCATCAAATCCCACTAATCTAATTTATCAGTGGTAAAAAAAAGTTTCATCTGTTTTGGAATACAGAGAAATCCTTACAGTAAGTAGTTAGGACGGACAATGAACATTTCTACTGTAGCCAGATGAAACTGTAGAAAGTTACAGTCTGCTTTGCTACATCCAAATTTAATTTATTCTCAAGCGTTGGAAAAGGACAAGAAATACGTAATATTTGTTCTGAGGTTTTCAATAATCATGTGATGCACTCTTCAATGTCTTGTCACTTCAAGACAGCATGTTACCTTTCAGTATATTATACAAACACATTTAATAAGTAAATTAAATAAAATGAACAAAGTATTTTTAACTCATGGACCAATATTCCTGGTCGCTCAATATTAAATTCCTTCATGGAAGAGTGTAACTTTCAAAATCTACTGAGCATCTCCCTTCTAAAAAATCCTTCTGTGATTTGCATCAAATTGCATCGTTTGAAAAATCTTTGTATCTAGTATAAAAGTACTTCTAAAAATTGGTTATGAGTACATTTTACAAATGCCCTTTATTTACTAATCAATCATTCTTCCATCAAATCCCACTAATCTAATTTATCAGTGGTAAAAAAAAAAAAGTTTCATCTGTTTTGGAATACAGAGAAATCCTTCCAGTAAGTAGTTAGGACAGACAACGAGCATTTCTACTGTAGCCAAATGAAACTGCAGAAAGTTACAGTCTGCTTTGCTACATCCAAATTTCATTTATTCTCAAGCATTGGAAAAGGACAAGAAATATGTAATATTTGTTCTGAGGTTTTCAATAATCATGTGATGCTCTCTTCAAATGTCTTGTCACTTTAAGACAGCATGTTACCTTTCAGTATATTATACAATATTCATTTCTGAGTGAAAGACTGCATACAAGTTCAAGAAAAAAAGTGAGAGGATTAATAGTGAAAAATTTCAGCCGTCTAGAAGTTGTTCAGATGGTCTAAACTAATCACCTCAGACTCCTTCCATACTGGAGAAGTCCTCTCGCAATCAGCCCAGAGTCAATCACTCAAATATGCCTTAGGTGAAATGCCTCTCTCCACAGGCAACTTAGGGCAGCTCAGTGTGGTGCTCTTAATTTCTACATGACTCAAGACAAGTAAAATGACTGTATTACATGTTCTGCAACACCACTGATTCTGCTCGTACAACTGCATTAGTCTTACAGGAACAACATCTCAATAAAATGGCCACAGAGAATGAAACGGGATGAATTTAAGCCAAAATGAATTCCTCATACATTTCATAGAATCATAGAATGGTTTGGGGTGGAAGGGATCTTGAAGATCAGCAAGTTCCCCCTGCCATGGGCAGGGACAGCTCCCACTAGAGCAGGTTACTTAAAGCCCCATCCAGCCTGGCCTTGAACACCTCCAGGGATGGGGCATCCACAGCTTCTCTGGGCAACCTGTTCCAGTGTCTCACCACCCTTATAGAAAAGAATTTCTTCCTGAGATCTAATCTAATTTATACAGCATTATTTTTTCTTACCTGGTCAGCATCGACAAATATTATTTTATCCACAGCCAAAGGGAAAAGAACGTCCAAAAAAAGAATTTTGTAGCCCCAGATAATCCTTTGTTTCTCTGCCTGTTGATAAAGCCAGCGGGGCCATTTATACTGTACTAACTCATACTTGAAACCATACTTTTTAGCCATATGAGGAATAACATCCTAGAAAAAGAACATAAATCCTATTAGTTGCACAAGTATGCAACACACGAGGACTCAAAAGGACAAAGAATGAACATTTGCAACACAATTGCAGCTGTATTTGCCTTACTAACTACATAAATTAGTATTTTAAAATGTTATTTTTTAGTTCTAGCAGTATCCTCAACTACACAAATATAAAAGCATTTATTTAAAGTTCTGGGAGACTATCAGAAGAGAATAAATTATTATAATATATCACTGGGCTTTGGGCTCCAGAAAAGAACTACTTTACTCATGAGACTTTCAAAACCAATAGTATTTAATATGCATTCAGAGATCATTTCCAACTGTGAAAATTTAATTTACATTATATAATTATTCAAGTGTAATTTTTTTTAAAATCCTACTTAAAATTTTTAAGAAAAACAATAAAAGGAAGACATTTCTCCTACCTTAAATGTTGGAGACAGATAGTTTTTCAGAAACCAAAATTTAACCGGTGTTTTTGTATGACGTAGGACAGAAAGCATCATAATTCTGTGGAAATATAAGTCTATAATAAACAAACAAATACACACAGGTCATTAAATTTCAACTCCACCTAAAAGGTGCTAGAGCTTTCTAAGTATAATTTTCTTTAACCCAGTTTAAGCAGAAATTTCTGTCTATTTCAAATAAAAAGCTTTGAAGAGCATGTCTCCAAGATGGGTTTATTCAATCCAGATTGGCTAAGCAACATTAGAAGGAACAATTTCAAAAGTGGATCTGTTAACAAGTTTTATTCTGAGAGGTGCCTGACAAAATTAGAATACCAATTAATACCTTATATTAACTTGGCAACTGAGATAACCAATGTGTTCTAAAATAAGTTGAGTTTAATAAGGTTGCTGAAAAGAAAAGCAGTGGGAAATAGAAAGCATAGATCAAGTTAAGATTCTCTTCAGAAAAGCCTTGGTAACTGCAAGAATCACTATTTTGGGTTCTTTTTTTTTTTTCACTATTATGGCATTTGTTTGGTGTAGCCAGACAGATAAGCAACGCCTTACAACTTTACGCAAGGTCAAATCTGCCTTAAAAATCAAGAAGTAATAAAGTGAGGTAAAGAAGTATGTAGGATGTTTTAATATTGGGGGTTTTTTTCTCCTTTAGAATAAATGAGTCTTTCCTTTTATGAAGGTTGTTGTAGGTTGAAGGAGAGAAATGCCGATGTTCAAACCGCATCGGATTACTAAGAAATAAAAATCAATACATACAAAAATGCTGCTTTCCAAATAAATATGCATGAACGAATTGTGAAATTCCACGTTAGGATAGGAAAACCCCTACACCTGACACCTGCAGACAAGCAGTCAAATCAGAAAAGTAACAGAGCTGGTTGTGACCAGATTAGGCTGTACTGTAAGATTTCCTTCAAAGCAATCACTGCTCATTGAATGAACACTGAAGTAAGGCCATACGTGCGTGTAGGAGTACCCACAGTTTGAACTAAACATAGATACAGCTCTAATGAAGCCACTTCTGCCATGTCTTTATAAAGAGATGCTGAATTTCATCTTTTGTGTTCACACTTCACACATGCACTCATGAAAGACACAAGAGAACATTTTTCTTTCTTCAAAGGATAATGGCGTTTTTGAACATCTATACATCAAATCACTTTGTTCTCAAACAAAGATGAATTTAGTCCTCACTGTATACAACTTTTCTGTGCTTTGACAATTTACTTGTTAAAAAAGTAAGTTTCTTTTAGCTGCTTAGTTTTCGGATGAAAGTTTGCAGTATTGCTATGAAATTCTTGTTTCCCTTTAACTTTTCCTTACCTTAAAAAACGTTCATACAAATGACCTGAAGCGACTGAAAAAATGTTAAGAATATCACTTTTCTTTTCCTTCTCCTCTGCTGGAATGTCTTCTGAAAATCTAATAAAAGAAAGACCCTCAGATTATTATATAAAGTAAACATTCAGCAGAAAGAAAATAGTATGTCATTACCATTAAGCTCATAAAAGAATCAAAACTAAGAATACACACAAAAGAAGTATTTTTTAAAAACCTACTTAAAATTTTTAAGAAAAATAATAAAAGGAAGACATTTCTCCTACCTTAAATGTTGGAGACAGATATTCTTAATGCTTATCCTATAGGAACTAAATACACCTATATTTTATTCCCATTGCACATGCCTGTGATACCAAAATCTTTTGGAAGCAACACCTTATACCCAGTCGCTCAGGACAAATGATGGCACAACTGCAGCCTCCAATATTTTCAAACAAAGAGAACCCAAATTTGGCAAGAACTCCACATAGCAAAATAATCAGCAATACACAGAGCCAGAATATCTTGAGAAGTGGTCATTTTTAAAATAGGCAACAGTTTGGTTTTTTTTTCACGCTTCATATATGTGCATTCTGCATCAGAAGAACCAATGCATATTCTTGAGCTAAATTATGTCTGCAGAGCCCCGTAAGTGGTTGAGTTGAATATATACTCTAAAATACAGAATGAAGATAATATAAAGCTGGCCACACCAGCCAAACCACATATTTAGCCCAGTACCTTAAAAACAGCAAATGACAAGGCTCAGGAGTAGTAGCTTGTTGCAGAATGCTCTCATAACATTCAATGGTCTGTGGTGGTGAGATTTCCTGAGTGTTTTCCATAATACTTGCTGAGTTCTTCCTTAAATTAATGCAATTACTCTCCCACCAAGCTACCCTATATCTCTGAGGTCTGCTGTCCAGAGGTTTTCTGTTTCTGCTGCACAGCATTCTTTGTTTGCTTTGAATACCAAAGTCTACCATGACTGGTTTTTTCAGTCATGTTTGCCTTCCAGCACAGGGAGCTGGGAGCTGGTGGCTGCAGTCTCCCCCACAGCACCGCGTCACAGATCTCAGAAAAAGCTGCCTTAGCCAAAGTGGTTACAGTATGGTTTTATATTCTTAGAGATTCACCTCAATAATCTCTTTTTTTTTTTGAGATGAGTCATTCCTCACACACTTGGATTGTGAGTCACTCCCATTAATTTTTTCTTCTGGTTAGAGCCCTTTTAACAGCATGCTTTAAAAAGTATAAAAATAAGTATCCCTCATAATCTTTAAAAGCAAATGAGACAAGCCTCAGACCTCCAACATATTTAAAGGAATTCACATCACTCCACTAACACAAAGCTGAGATGTCAGAAGGCTGCACCTTCACCAATCTCCATCTGGACACTGAGCTGTTGACCACTACCCTCTGGGTGCAACCATCCAACCAATTCCTCATCTACTGCACAATCCACCCATCAAATCGCTCTCCCTCCAACTTAGAGATAAAGTTGTTGCAGGGCACCACAAAATAGTATCTACATTATAAATCCCTTGGGGAGCCTTTTTATATATTTGTATCACTATTAAGTAAGAAACATTTACTTGCTATGAATATTAATAAACATGTCCTGGCATGGTAAACGAATAAGCAAATTATGCATTACCTTGTGACTGATTCTTGATTTCCTTTTTTTCCTGTTGTTCCATCAGTAAGGAGATCTTCATTCACTTTATCAGGCTTTTTCTGTACCTAGTCATTAAAACAAATGTATTTGTGTTATTTGGGAAGTTAGTTGATAATAATTACTTCAGTTATGATATCTAATTATGGCGTACTTACAGGCTAGAGCTGGACCAACATCTTACCAATTTCTATTTCAGTAAAATACTTACTGAACTGCATTAAACTGAACAGAAAAAATGTCGTTTCATACTTTTAAACTATGTACAGAACTTGCTGGAGGTGACTTAGAAATTAAAGCTATATTCACATTTCTAAGAAAAGGTTCAGCATTGAAGAAACTTCCAGGGTGGAGTGCAGCTGATACTCAGGGAATATATTCTACCATAGCTACATAACTTGCCATCTTAAGAGTCAGCAGATTCTAAGGTGGGAAAAGACCAGCACAGAGAGTGGGGTGGTGTGAAGATACCATAGCCAAACTGTGTGCATCAGGCAGGGAATGGGAACTTAGGGTACTATGAACCTTTTAGCACTAAAAATGTAGGGAATCGTATCTCATTTTCTTCCCTCACGAGTTTGTGATCCAGCCACCAGCTGGGAGAAGGGTAGCAGGGTGTCCCACCACGTTCATGGAACTTACCTGAAGGGAAACTGATTCTCAGAAGTCCTTCACAAGGAGAAGGCGACAAATCTGTCACTCTCCTGCCCAACTTAAGCAATTTCTGCTTTCTTACCCAGATGCTTAATAAAGGTTTCAAATTAATTTTGTTCGCTGACCTTAATTTCATTGATTAAAGGAAACCTAATTGTTTGTGAAACCCAAATAGCTTTTAAAACACTAAGAGTTTGAACATATTCAATTCTAACCATATTAATTTCACTTTAATACACTCAAGCTAACGCTTACAGATTTCTGTTCACACCACATCGTGTGTCTTTTTAGCTAATGCTTCTGAAGCCACATCCTAAGTGTTGCTGAAGTGATTCAACAGTTCAACTGAATGAGAGCTTACACATTCTAGTTACAAGCTTAATAGGTACCACCTTTCACATAGAATAATTTTCCTGCTTTCACAGAATCTTCTAGGTTGGAAGGGACCTTAAAGATCATCTTGTCCAACCGTCTTTGACCCAAATGGTACCCTTTCCTCCTTTCTCTGTGGTTTTATGGCAGGCCCATCATGCTCCAGAGTTACACATTTCCTCCAAGTTCTGGAAAATTTCAGTTACAGGGCTGGGGAAGAGACTCACACATGCGGTTTTAAAAACTCCTTTTGTATTCGTGTTTACACCATTCTTTCTCCTTCTCGAAGCCCAAAATTAGGATACAAGGTACTAAGGACACCTACACAAAATGTTATTTTACAAAAAAGTGGAAAACATGTAATACTAGGAGGTTCTTTTCTCCTTAATATAACTAGTTTCATGATCTCTTTTTGATACATCTTCAAGAATGAAAGTAACAACCTCATTTACGCAAATTTGGTAGCTTAGGGTAGACATACCAGAGTGGAAGTTAAAATTAGGTATCTGGACTTGACGTAAAATCCCTCCCCAGACACAGGAAAGAACCAGATGACTCAGGAGGCGGTCATCCCATCATGTAAGATGGGATGAGCAGCCCTTTGGACTGTCTTTCTCATTGTACTAAGCAGAGAGGGAGTTCAAGGCATCTAGACTATGCTCTTAGACACTTGAAGCTAGATAAAATAAATCATAACTATGTTACACACAAGGCTATAGTATTTTAACAGCTACTCAACAGTCTCCCATGCAATTAGTACAGCCTGATTGGATCAAGTTAACTACATTAATTTGCACACCCTTCTCTTTAATTATACAGAATCTAAATTATATATTTCAGTATACATCTTCCAATTAAATATAGCCTAAGACATGTAAGCATTAGTCATATTTCATATAAGGAAATACTGCAGACAAAAACCGGTATCTTTACATACTTGGACTTTGATAATTTTGCTTCTGAAGTTGTTTAATACCACAATAACATCTGTGAGGTCAGCTTCAGAATCTGTTCCTTCATGGCTGTGAGGAGAAAAAAAAACATGCAAAAGTAGTGGCTCATTAAAACATGCATTATTTCTTGCATTTAATTAGACTGTAAGATTTAAGATTGCTGATATTTATAGGAATAAAATTTCTTCACTTGCACCTAATTATACCTTAACTTCAGAAACTTTCTCAGTTTTATTCATCACTAGATGTTGTCCACAGCGATAGCCCTCACTTTTTAATTTCGATTTTCACAGGAAATTTTATCAACCAATATAAAAATGCAGCAACCATGAGCTGAATACGCAATTATGTATTATACAGGTATATACTACATTCAAATATTAAAGTATATTTTATTTTTCAAATATGGAAGACATCTTAGAAATTGCTGTGTGACAGCATTAAATATACTTTTAAAAGAAATCCTCTTTAAGAAGCCTAGGGAAAGCTCCACCACTGTGCTGAGACAGTAAAGATTGGCTCTCAGCTGCTTGCCTTTGGTAACTGTACCCCTAAAGACATGGCCATGCAAGGCACCACATGAACATCTGCCCTACTGAACATCAGCTTCAAGCCATTCAGGCATCTCAAAACTGTACTGCAGTCCACTGAGTAACAAGTATGTAAAATGCTGCCGTCACTCTGTGATGCAACGTAATAACATAATTCTCAAAATTTTACAGTTTTTATACCTCAATAGCCTACATATTTTTCCCTCAATCCTTTCTGTCTTTTAACAGCATCATGTCGTTTCCTCTCGTGAAGGCTACACATACAAAAACATGGCTTAAGAAAGTAATCTGCTACCCTTTAGGCTTGATTTTTTGGGGCTTTTTTCATGAAACAGAAATATTTAAACCTTGTTTCAATCTGTTTCATACTACTTATCTGAAAATGACAGCATTTTATATACTTATCTGAATTTTCTATTTAATAAATTTATGCAAAAAGTGCCTATGATTACTAAGTTTCACAGAGATGGCTGATTTTTGCTCAAAACAACGTTCAGGGTTATCTTGACTTTTCTACTCTCTGATTTAGTTTCATTTCCACACCAAAATATTGCATATATGAACACTTGGCCAAGGACTGTCTTTTTATCGCAGGGATGTACAGTACTCAAGATAAAAGGGCACAGGGCTCCATTTCAAATAAAGCATATCATTAAAAAATTCTGAAATAGTAAAACTAGAGCCAAACACAACTGCTGGTAGCAGAAATGGCAGCAGCTGGCACCGTGCTCCCATTTTTTTTCGTCAGTTTTTTTAATTTTTACACAATCAAAATTTTCTGTTATTCACCCAGTTATCTCAAAAAATCTGTATGTTCTGAATTCTGTACCTAGCTCTGCAGCTCTGCTGATGAAGATGATTTCCCAAAGTCTTTCCAATATTCTCAAGGTGTTTGGTAAATTTAAATTCGCTGTAAATTTAATAACATTGCTTTTTATGCCTAAATCCCTTCCGTGGATCCCTCACTGTCAGCTCCATCTTCACTGAGCGTCGATTGTTTTGCTCGGCACAGCACTCTCTGTGATGAATTTCTGTTCCAGTATGAAAAACACACTGAAAATAGAGGTACCTTGGATGCTTAACGTTGGTCTCGAGATCAATTTATCTGTTTCTCCATTCACATCTTTGTATACTTCCTACTGTTACACTTCTTTTTCTGACAGAGTACTTCATTTCAATTTCTAGTCGCACAGCTATGGGCTCAGACTAGGATATTCACTTGCTTTTAGGTAGGTATCTCTCCAAGAAAACCATACTGTTCTTGTAATTTTAAATCAGTGTGCTGAATCTTACACAGGACCTCTCATCCTTTCTCTCTCTCTGTGCATCTGATATTCAGCAGGTTTTAATTTTATGCATGTAACAGATGCACATTTCAAATGAGCGACCATGTGAATAAGGTTTTCAATGTGTCCTGGGGTTTGGAAGAACTGGGACTGTGATTCATAAACTCCCTTAAGAAAACCAATAAGGATTTTGTGTTTTGTCCAAAAGATACTGACAGCACTACTAAATATTTAACAATAACTACATTATTGTTACACAATTGTTGGACAAAACTATTTGTCACAGATATAAATAGTCCAGCAGACTATTTATGTCACAGCAGACTATTTATGTTGCAGCTTTGAAATGTTTCAAAACACCTACATCAATATAATATGAATTATAATTTTCCATACAGAGAACAAAAGCACAAAGAAACAAAAAGAAACTCTCTTTGCCTGAATTCTAAAAAATACAACTTTGAGTAAGCATATATTTTGATGCACACCATCAAAATATAATAAATTATACCTACCTGCCTTTTTAAAATATTAAATGTTCAGCAAGAGTTTATGTATTATTCTTTTGATATAAACTATTTTCTGCAGTCTTGCAATACCTGTTTTCCTACCAAGATCACAGAATCAATGTTCCAATAAGAAGCAGTGCTCAGACGGTTACTGAATATACCAGTTCTCATCTTTCTAATATTCATAGCAATTTACTAATAACAAATTGATTTACAAGTGTGACTGCTTCAAAATAATGATCCTTGTTACAAGCAGTGTTCAGGGACATTAAAAAAAAAAAGAAGCTTATTTCAAAAGCTGTGTATTTACATAAAGTAAAAATAAATTATTTGTATGTGTATTAGATGCTACTGTGAGAGAAGCAAACAAACTCTGAGGTGTAGAACATGCTGTGACTTCAAAATCCTGTATTTCTCCTACAACTCCTGCAGGCCTGTGCCTCAAAGAAAAGAGGTCATCTCACAGTTCAGCAGGAGAGGATATGATTAGTATATGAGGATGGTGAATATACTGCAATACCTCTTGGCAAAACTCCATCCTGTCCAGTAGTTGCTCGAGTTCTGATAGCAATTTGATACTATTGATACTGATAGAATAAAAGTAATATCAAAGATCCTGGTACAGCCTCTCAAACATACTTTAGCTGTTGCACTCTAAGCCTACGGCTTGTCATAATTCAATGAAATAAATGCATTTGTTTAGATTCCTCATCAAGTATTAATTTTACATAACTTAACTGAGCCTAATTAAACTCATTTGTATTACTTCTTAGGGAAAAATCAGTAATCTTAAAAGATGGTGGATGATTTGTTTCCTTTGATCCACTCTGGAACGTGGAGTGGTTTTGTTTCATTTGTTTCATCTTTTAATTCAACCACAGCTCATTAGGTTATTTTTTTTAAACCATGACACATTTCATAAATCACTTTCTATATCTTAAGAATTGAATGTTAAATTAGACAAATAACTACAGTTGGTGGAGATTAAGCGAACTTCTTAAGATAAACACTATGTTTTTCTGCTTTTTCAACAGATTTTGAGTAGTTTCAGGAAAAAAATTGAACATCGCAAACAAACAGAATGAACCTACTATCCCGTTACCATTGTAACACTGAAACTGATCCATTAACTACATATTCAAAAGAGCAAAGAAGTTAATAATTTTTTTCATTTTTTAATAGTAGCTGATGACTAAACAGCATATGCAACTATGTGTTCCTGAACCCCAAGCAATAATAAATATTTTATAAGAAACAGACCCTGTTTCAGCCCACAGAATTACAAGGCGAGGGAGGAAAGAAGGAAGAACTGAAGCTGAAATAAAACAATACTGTTCCTCTAGAAGGGAGTGGATCCAAAAGCTTCAAGAGGAGCTTCAAGAGGAGGCTACCATGGAAATTACAGATCTATAAGCCATATAGGTGGCAACTAAATGCCAGTAACTTCTGTCCATGCACAGGGGTTTCTCCCAAGAGAGGGAAATGCGGCACAGTCAACATGCAGACAGGGTACAGAACTGAAGGGTGCTCCTACATCCTAAGGTGAATGCGTAACCACAGTGATTTAGATGATTTAGATGACTAAGAAACGCTCAGAATCAATTGAAGAAAAAAGCCCAGAACTGAATACAATGCTCCTGTTAAAAACAGGTGCCAACCACCAATAACCCTGCATTCAGAGGCACCCTCAAAGCTCAAGAAAAAATATTATGAGATGGAAATTCATGGCACTTCCTCCAGCTGATCAAGACACTGCTGGTGAGCCAGCAATGCTCCAGCAGACATTCTTGGAATTACATGTTAAGCATGTTGGGAATGCCCAAATATTAATCAACAAAGCCTTGAGTAACATTTCTACAGAGTTTGATAACATTAACCACGCTTGGAACTGACAGGACAAGCAGATGTGTAGCTGCACAGTAAGAGACTTCACTAGCATAAAGTTTAGCTGAGCAGCTTAGGTTTACTATGCATTAACATATCCAAATGTCTTCAAGAACACATGGAGCAATCAAACGACGAGTTACACTATTCAGGAAATAAGGTTATCTCTTTATAAACTTTAAATCATCATTTGCTTCTTGTTCAATTTTTTTCATGTTATTTTTGCTCATTTTCCTTCAGTACTGTCAGATCTTTTCAAAATATCTTGCACTTACAGATTCATTTATAAGTAGGTTTCCAAAAGACGGATTAATACTTACGAAAAAACCTGATAAATCTCTTCGGACCTTCCTTTACGCAACCTCAATGTCCAAGCACCTGGATTTGCTTTCAGCTGAAAATATCCCTAAAAAAAAAAAAAGGGAAAGACAGTCACTTGTTGTGTCAGCATTTCAGAATCATGTACTCTTACAAACATCAATTATCCAACATTTGGTACTGCAGCCAGTGTCAGTAACCATTGCCTTCTGCTAAACCAGCCCTGAAAGTAATATGGCAGTGATGCAATCAAGTATCACCTTTCCTGTATGTCTATATTAAAGCCTTTCCGTGTTCCATTTGGTTTTAGCAGAATTTGAGTTGTATACAAAATCTCCACCTAGAGCAGCAAGTCGGTGAGTAAAAAATAAATACATTATTAAACCGACCCTAAACTGAAGTTTCCTGAACTTTGTTTCCTTTGGAACTTAAAATTTTTGTCTGGAACAGCTTTCCAAGTCAACACAGCTCCATCCCCATTTAGGAATGCTGAATACAGCTATCATTATCTGAAACCCATATGAAGGAAGCTTTGGAATGTGAAGAACCATTAAAAACTTCATCATGTTGAACATCTACTGTTGAGACCTTATTCAGTACTTGTGAAAAAAATCAAAGATTCACAGTTTATTAAGAATTTTATTCCTTGCAATACGGAGAACAGGGAATAGCAGATAGGTAACAGATCTTATTCAGAAAATCCTTCCTTATCAAATTACTTTAGCCAATAGAAAACAAATCTTTCATTTTGGACATCACAAGATCTTCTGGTCGGTGGACTCCTAAACCAAAAAATAATTACTTTGGATGACCAGAAGAATTCTCAGGTATGGGTTTGTCTCACACAGGCTTTAAGCACTTGACTGAAGCATCTAAAATAGGAGCCTTTTGTGTGGATCATTATGTACCAGAAATGGTTATTTTAATCAGAACGTGATTCATACCTTACATTTGTCAGTGGAACCTCCATCTGAATATAACTCCCTCCGACCATCTACTTATGGCAATTAGGCTCCCAGTTTAGGTATTTCAGACAAGAATCTAAAATTAGACTACATCCAAAACTTTATTGGAAGAGTGGGGGAAAGCTCAGCAAATTAGAGATGCACATCTTTTGTAGATGGTCTTAACTCCAGGATACTCTTGCTAATTTTAGCATTGCTAAGTTTGCAACACAGAGAAATGGATTTAAAGAACAAGAAGCTTTTAAGGAATTCTCATGAGGAGTGTGCAATTTTAAGGACTATTTCTGTACTTAATACTCACCAGGTTGGCCATCACAATAGTATCAACCATGACAGGATTATTCTTTGTGCCCAGAGTGAACTGTAACCCTCGAGGAGGTTGTCCAGTCGTCACATCAAAGCAATGTCCTTCAAGCAATATATATTCTAGTTCATATTCTGCTATCACTGTCCCTTTTATCTGTGGAAGGAATATTTCATAGTTAAATGACATAATTTATTGATGAGGGAAAAGTAACATATTAATGACAAACATGCTGCATGGGATTTACCTCAACTAAATTCAACTGTCAAACAAAAGAGAAAGGCCCTTCCAGAAGGAACTTCGCTCAATTTTAAAATAGGCATCCAAGAGAAAGAGGATGAATCACTGTCTGGAGGGACCTTCTCTCCATTGACCGTTGAGGAAGCTGAAGCATCTCAGCTTTGGTAAGGAAAATCCCAACCTTCATTTTCACAATACACCTTCCAAATACACAGCTTGGGTCTATCAAACACGGTCAATATTTTGAATAAGCTTCGTTGCTGAAACAAATCTAGAGACTTTGAAGCTGGGGGATTAAAAATAATTTAAAAATTGTGAACTAAAAAAAGGTCAAATATATTTTAATATATATTAATAACAGCCATATATTCAAAATTATAAAGCTCAACATAGCAGATAAATTGCTTTTACTTGAACTCTGTATTCTGATTTTTTCTGTTTCATTGCTTTAGGACTTGGGTTTTGTGATTTTTTTGTTTGTTTGTTTTTTTAAAAGAAAGTGGGGAAAAAAAGATGATGAAAATACAAATGGTAAAATACTGACTTAAATAGCCAATTACCACAGAAAATATTTCTGGAAAACAGACAAAAAAAAAAAATCTCACAATGTTTCCATTTCCCTCGAGGTAGATGGTCCAACACAAGTTTTATAATGTTTACAAACTATTACTTACATCCTGTAAATGAATGTTATCGAGATCACAGGAACTGTTTACTGCTTCAACCAACCAGCTTTCAGGAGTGATCATGTTTAGGGTTAAAAGGGGTGATTCTGGCAATTCTAGGAATTTTGCCATAGGTTCAGAAGGAAGGTGCTTGTTGATCCCGTAAGTTAATTCTGGTTCCAGAACAAAACGATAGAAGCTGTTGAAAAAGAAGTGTGTAAAAAAGCCATATATTTACTGAAGAATGAAGTTCCAAACACAAAGTTCTTCCAAAATACCAAAATATAGTAAATGTTTACCAATGTAATGATATCTGGAGGCACAGTGGCTCTCTATTCTTTTGGAATACTGTCAGACAATACCTTTATTCTTTTGGAATGTGTCAGACAATTTTATATGCCGTGGCATATCAAGTGGGCTGGTAGATGAACATGGATCTATTCACTTCTGATAATTTTTTGCTGTGAAAGTATCTAGTTCCCATTAACATTCTAAGCAGTTGGGAAGATGAATACCCAAGAGGTTGATCTCAGCACCTTGACTGTGAACCGCCTTGAATCCTTAGAAACTTTATCATTAAACTAAGCAGAAGGACTTATCTCTGATGGAAGAAAAGCCTTTGGGAACAGCTCCTGACACTAGCAGCAGCAAAGACAGAGAGCAGGCGAAAGGAAGGGCCCTTCTATTCCTCTCTAGCTCTTACCCCATTTATTCCACAAGTAAAAGTTCCTCACAACAAAAAAATAATTATGATTTTCTTCCTTCCTCTACTGCTATTCAACAAAATGAGAAGAATCAGTACAGAGAAAGAAGAGCACTGAAGGTAAAGAGTCAAAGCAGCAAGCAACAAGTGCTTCATACAGGAAAAAAAAAAAGGTCCAGAGAAGGGCAACGAAGCTGGTGAGGGGTCTGGAGCACAAGTCTTATGAGGAGAGGCTGAGGGAGCTGGGGTTGTTCAGTCTGGAGAAGAGGAGGCTGAGGGGAGACCTTATTGCTCTCTACAACCACCTGAAAGGAGGCTGTAGAGAGGCGAGGGTTGGTCTCCTCCCAACTCACATGTGACAGGACAAGAGGAAATGGCCTCAAGTTGTGCCAGGGGAGGTTCAGATTGAATATTAGGAAAAATTTTTTACACTGAAAGGGTTATTAAGCACTGGAATGGGTTGCCCAGGGAAGTGGTTGTGGCACCATCCCTGGAGGTATGTTAAAGACAGGTTGACAGGGTGCTTAGTGGCATGATTTAGTGATGGTTTTTATCAGAGTTAGTTTGATGGTTGGACTAGATGATCTTAAAGGTCCCTTCCTACCTACACAATTCTATGACTCTGTGACATTTAATTACTAAGAAAGGTAAGAATATCTGTACCCATCAGGAGAATACAATTTTCCTCACACAGTATTTGGGCTGGTATATGGACGCATTTCATATTAACCATTGCTGCAAGAAAAAGGCAACCTTTCCACAGGGCAAATGTCAGAACACTTCTTCCTCTCACCTCTCCCAGGCACAGGGAAAGAGCCAGCTACTAACACCTGCAAAATGCTTAGCTTTAAAAGCCATCATGACAACGTTCAACCAAGATACTCAGAAGATTGGCAATTAAGACACTCTCTTGCAGTATAAGAGGTGTCAAAAATCAAATCAAACAGAAACTAAGGACTTCCATTTTGTGGGAAAGCAATTAATTCTCTATTCTGGTGGGTAAAGTGCAGGCACTACCAGCAGCCTCTCTCATAATAAGACCATAGGTAAAATAGCTGCCGAAGGGATGGCAGTGCTTAAACATTTCTCTTGGAGGAAAAGGAATCCTCTCTGGAGAATTCACTTTAGTGGAAACGTTTATAACCAAATCAGTGAACCCTGGTCTTCACAGACAGTTAAAAGAAATTTCAATTTAAGGCAGGTACTTTCAGGGCATAATATTCTTAACAAATTATAACGATATCTCAAATGCAGACTGAACATTTACTCAGATGAATTTCACTTTTAAGTTAAGCGTACTTAATCTGTAAAACTCATTACACAGACAGTGGGCTGTAAGAAGTTACCAAGAGAAACAGACAATCTCCTGCGAGTTTTCATAGGCGTGAAAGAACTCCACTGATGTTGCTAAGGACTGTTTATGAGAGGTGCATTTGATGGACTAGATCACTTCCATGTGATGCCATGCTTGACACCTTAGAATCAGAATTTTTCTCTAGACAAGTGCAAACTGCTTAGGTAACATTCAATGAAACTAATTCAACAAAAAGAATTCAGAAACATAAACCACTGCTTATTTTTTGAGGGAATATACACTGTTAAGGTTGTTTTTCCAAAAAAAGTGAGACCGTATACGTGTAAGAAAAGCTATAAACTACTTACCTCTTCAGTGGTGCTTCTGACAGCTTAGATCTGCAGTTCAAAAACAACCTGAGTTTCACATTGATAATGTCTTTAAGTACCTACAGGAAAAAAAACCAAACCTCTAAAAAATGGTTCTTGGCAATCACCAAACTTTGAAAATAAGCCAAACTTATCATTGTGACATCCCCTCATTTCTCCATCTTCAGTAGAAATCTTAAACATTTTAAAGTTCTAAATTTATCGGTGTATTAAGGGATGTTGTCAGATGTTCCAAATAAAGATTTGACCTTTTCTAAAACTGCATGAGTTAGCATGTGATATTCTTGATAGTCAAAATGTTAATGTTTTCCCCTAGTGAGGCAGTTCTTTTAAAGAGCAGCTATCCTCCTTTTCTAATGCTTGAATAAATTACATTATCACCTTTCTTTTGTGTTTCTAGAAGATTTCAATGCACTTGAAAGTCTTTAAGTACAACACATGCCTTTTATTTAATAACTGATCTTCCAAAAAATGACCTTCACTCTTACTAAAACAGTTGCATACAGTAAATTGTTGAATAAAGCTCAGAGATTTTAATATTAATTTTAAATTAGAATTCAATTTTAATACTTAATTACTTAATAATTTTAAATGTCAACAATAGATTAATGATGCGTTAAACTATTCAACTTCAAAACATTCCAGTAAGTTAAAATGTTTCTACTTCTCAGTTTCTTCATCTATTCATTGCCAAAATACTAATTTTCTGGATGCTGTTGTATAGCAAACATAATATTAGGACAGTATTTTTCTTCTTATTTTTGTGAGCAATCTATATTGTTTAAAGTTAACAAAGTTATGCATTTCTTTAAAGCACTCTTAAAAACCTTTCCCAAGTTATCTTCATTTTTGTGTTTTCCGATCCAAAGTGCTTATTTGAAAGCAGAAAGCACCTGTGTCTACCTTTATGGATATTATTAGAAAAGCAAAGAAGACATTAAAGCTAAGTTAAAATACTGGTATCACTAAGGTTAAAATCTAAAATTACTATAGAGGCAAGTAAACTGGGAACAAAGCAAAACAAAGGTCACCCTTAAATCTCTCTTATAACCATTTCTACTTTCCTCAGTTCAACCCACAGCTACACATATTCTTTACTAAAGTGCTGCAACTTTACACAGTCCTAGGGACCTGTTCTGCTCCTCATTTCTCATTCTCATCCTTTGTGTTGCCTGAATACCACCACTGAAAAACTACAGAGCAAAGAAGAAAGACTAAGGAATGGCATAAGGCTGAGAACGAGCAAAGCAGCAGGAAATGAGAACCCAACAGCAGTGGAAGCATAAAAAGGTAAAGTATTACGTGACAAAGACCACCAAAATCAGAATACAGGTCAAACTCATTCAAGAATCCAAAGCATTTGCAATGAGTGCTAGCTGGTCTCATCTACCAAAACCAGAATTTTCAACATCATTTGAAAAATTGTTTTCTTTAAACATATCACACCAAAATGATGTGAACCTGTATTGGACTTCATCTTCAACTAAGACAAAAACCTTATCCCACTACTAAGAAGGATGTTTCAGCAGTCTGCATTGATAGGTTGCTGTGTGTAGAATGAAATTATCTTGAAAAAGACTAAGGTATCATCTTATTTCATCGGCTGACCATGAAATTCAGTATAGTATTGTAGCCAAAAGAATAATGCTTTTTTTAATTAACATTTCAAAGGAATTTAAATAGGAAATAATAAATAAAACAAGACTGCATTATCTCTGTGCATTCTAACAATGCAAATTCTGTAATACTGAATTTGGTTCTGTTATTTAAAGCTCATGATGACACTAAGAGGCAGGACATCCAAGTCAACACATGGAAATGGTTACAAGACTGGGAAGCCTCTTTTATAGCAGGGTATTTGAAGAGTTCAGTTACTTTAAATCAGAAAAATCCAAAGCAGGGCATGGAAATTTAGTTCAGGGAGTATTTCATACCATAAAAAATAGGTTAATTATTTCAGTTTAACATGACCGAAAATTATTTGAGAGCAAGTTTTATTTTGCACGTGCAGTCACTTTGCAAAACGCTTACTGTAAGTGACCACAACTTATCTGAAAAGCATTAACTCACTAAACCACAATTATTCAACCAATCACCTGGAGCTATTTGTGAACATTATCATAATATGAAGCATCCTCACTGAAAACAAACTCTTACAATAGAATCTTCAACAGAACTGCCAAAAAGATGAGAAGCTGAATGCTTACAGCATGGAGCTAAATAAAAATCTGCAATTCCAAGTCTGAGTTTAACAGTCAGGTTAATTAGCCACTGGAAAAGCTCTGTAGGAGCTGTGATCTCAACCACTTGGTAATACTTAATTACCTTGAGATTTAAAAAAAATATATATATATTTTTACTTCAAATGTTAATTTATAAAAAGAAGTTCTATGACCCATGTTTTATAGGAAATCAGACTGGATTATCAAAAGGAAGGGGCTCCTTCAGAGATTCCTATCGCTTTAGTGATGGAATAAGAGTTTCTCCCTGAAGACAGAATGAAGAAAGAAATAGAGGCAGAATATAATTGACAGGAAAAAATAAAAAGTTTGATTTTTCTCCCCACATTTGAGTTCATTGACAGTTACTGGAACAAGAAAAAGAAAGTAGACGATCCTGAGAATTACATATTTCTGGAATAAAGCAGTTAGGCTAGGGGGCATGCAGCTTGTTCACTGGCACCACGTATAATATTTTGCAGCTGGTTTTGGTGAACCATCAGAATAAAACCAACCTCCTTCAATTTTGTACTCATTTTTAGAAGAAGGAATTTTTTTTTTTTTTTTTCACATCAGCTTAGGGACCACCTTCATAACTTTAGGACTAGTTAGCTGTTCAACGTATTCTGCTGAGAACTGACGTGGTTGAGCTCTGGTCAAGTTATGGTTAGTATTTAAAGATCTACTGTAGACAGTGACTGTTGTCTTGTCTGGAAATATTTAATGCTGAGGTTTATGACAAAACCTTTTCAAAAGGGAAAACATAAGTTATATGGAAAGTTCTACCTGCCTCCTTCTAGGGCGGATATAGAGCAGTTCTTATAATACAATCCAGTATTTATTTTTAAAAACACATAAAAGCCCTGGCCCTGCTCTCATTCATGCCCTGACTCATAACTTGCCTCTGTCCTTAAATTTCTACTCAGAGAAAGCAGTAAAGTTTAGATTACTATTTATACCTCAATTTCAATTCCGTTTAATATGAGTAGCTTTTTGTTTATATTTGAAAAAAACCAAACAAAAGATATCTTTGAAGTGACTATTAAGTGACACAACGTAATATAATAGCATGCTTTCACTAGGGTAAAAAAAAACTCACAATGTGAACATATTCAACATGGACTAGGGCAAGAACCATGTGCTTTGCTGTGGTAGTTACTACAGAAATTTTGCACTGTGAACAGCTACCATCCCAATATAATGGACACTAACCCAATTATGGTGTTCAAAAAAAGATCCTTTGAATATAAACATATACCAATACTTAAAATTTACAGTATTTAAGTCACCTGTATATAGCAAGATAATCAGAAAGGCACCCATTTAGGAAGTTTGAGTTTGGGCCTTGCTGTATATGTATGCATGGTCTGTCTAACCAGGAGGTGGTGGCTTTCCAGATATTCAGATACATCTTTTCTTTGTTTAAATCTTCAGGTTATTTTATTTTTAATTTAAAAAATAATGAAAAAAATTTAAAAAGTAAGTTTTACCTATGTTAAAATATTTCTCATTTGTTTAGTTTTAACAGCATTTCGTTATTTTCTCCTGAGGGTTGGATTCTTGATTAAGGCTATAGCTCCTACGAATCAAGTAGGGTCTGTGATGGCTGAATAGTTTGGGACACCAGGGTGTCATTTGCCCAGGCATGCATTAGGGCAGATATTGCTCATTAGGGAGCCTGTTGCACCAGGAGGAATGGAGGTTTCCAATCTGAGCTACAGGGTCCTTGATGCAACTTGACATAATATGAACTTCTGGCTGAATGGAGAGAGTTTCCAGTCCATTCCAAAATTAAATTATTTTCATTTAGTAATATCAAGCTTTCCTTTTAACTAAGAATGATGAAATGAAAGATCGGGTTCTAGAGAAAAGCTGGTATTTCAGAGTCTTGAAATATCAGAATTTTTATGAATTCTTAAACTTCGCTTCAATATTATGCGTGAAGAGTAAGCGGATGCTTCAACATTTGATACAAAAAGCACAAAAGGGTATGAAAGTGGGAGGGAAAAAAGCAAGGTAAGAATTTATGAAACTTTCATAATTACTGCAGAGAAAAAGATAAAACAGGATGCAGCAAAAATCAAGTTACAGGCTTCAGAACTGTAACAGACCATAAAGAGAAGACAAAATTTACATTTTTATGGGAAACTATAAAGGAACCTGAGGTAGAGTGATATCCTGCAGCTAGTGAAAAAAGAAAATCATTTTAGGAGCTACGTTTTTAGGACAGTTTCTCTTTAGATGATCAATAGCTACACACAATGGAAGACTTCTAGATATACTTGGTAGCATTAATCAACTGAGAAATACCCTTCCAAAAGCTGAAAGGTTTATAGCCTAATCTTCTTATGATGATATTACGGGTCAGATTTAGACCACTTCATTTAGGTACCTTGGAAAACTAAGGTGATTTGGATTAATGGAAAGAAGCATGTGCCTCTTAAGATTTTTGAGATGGGAGATCCTTTCCCTCTATATTACGCAGACGATCTCCTTCTTTCCTTCTATTGACTATAAAGAGCATTTATGGACTCACTTTTAAGAGGACTGGTTATTGGGACATCTGAATTTTAATTGCAAATTAGGTAGTTACAATGATGAATTAGATCATTCACAACTTTTTAATATGAATTTAAATAACTAAATATATATTTTTAAAAATACCTGAATTTTGTTTACCCCTTTATCACACTGTACATGGAAATTAGAAAAAAGTTTAATAAAAATTAAACTACAAATATGCAAATTAAAAGAAATTACCACCATCTTACAATCAATAAATGAGCCATCTTCTGTGCTTCTCTTGTCAATGGATCCACAATAGCAATAACATCATAGAATGGTTCATTCTGTTGGGGATCGACTTTTACTACGCTGTTAAAAAAAATTAATAAGTGATATGAACACTCTGAATTTCTGGAATTAACAAATATTTTTAGGTATGAATTTGTAATATCAGAGGCACTTTAGATTTTACTGCTCACGAAGACGTTTCCCTCATTTCAAGTAGTAGTCATTATTGCTCCCTGTGATATCACTAGGAAAGCTAAACGTGAAGAGCAGTGAAAAACTTAGCATTACTCTACATAGTTCCATACTGGTTACTGATTAAATATATGCCCCATAACAAAATTAATAAAGTAAAAAGAACATACACTGCAAAAATTTTTAAATGGCCTTTTGCCACTAGTTTACAGTTTCCTTCACCACTATCTAGAACCATTAGATTTAACAAGTGCTGGCGGTGACATAATTTCTCATGACAGAGGACAGGATTCACAGATGCACATCTTGGTATTTTAGGTCTCATTCATTAACAACGACAACAAAAGACAATGTTTAGGGCATAATCACTTTCTAAATCTAGGAACAGAAACTCAAGGAGCCAACATACAAGTACATTAATGACACTAATACAAGCTGGCCAAATATAAATCTTTTAGCTGATCTGTTCAGTTTTTCTTAAAGAGATGTCAATGAGCCCTATGAACTTGCATTTGAATGTAATTTAGGTGTATTAGCTGTGTATTTAGCTGTGATCAAGAACGATGCTGCCAAGCCACAAACTGTTATACAGGTATAAGCCTTGACAACAGCACTCAAGATGCACAAACAAAACAAGTTACACTACAGTTTCCCACAGTAATGAAAATTACTGGGGGCTTCTATTAGCTCTAATCTGTGATACTACTTCTAACATTTTAGTCAATGTATGGACTCCAAGTTTTCTAATTCCAGATCACCACTTCTATTCACAGCAATTGTAATCCCTTTTTTTTCCAGCAAAAGATAAGGCTGGAAAATCATTGGGTATTACTAATTCATTTATTAAGAAAGAGGAGAAGATGAACAGGTTGCTCATACAACCATAGAATCAACAACTTCTTTTAAAACTGGAATGCTTACTCAAGTTCCCAAAGACCTTATGTAGTCATCAGCATATTCTAATTTTAATATGAGCCTACTGCAAGTACGTTATCATGAGAAACAGAACTTACCTGTGCTGGTCTTTGAGTAATTCAGCATCTTGTCTCATCTCTGTTTTAGGCAACGACGACAGCAGGGCATCTATTTTCATAATCAAATCACTGCCACTATATTAAATAAGGCACATATAATTTGGTTTTCATTAGAAAAGGAGTAAAACATTCCCATTTTAATTTATGTCTGACTGCATTAGGGACATCTAAAAACCCCACATCCCAAACCTGGATTCTGTAAAACGATTATCATGGAGAACTGTAGCTTTGAGTACAACCATTAGCATGACAATGCCCAAGCACCACTACTGCCTCAGAGCTTGTGAACTGTACACTCCTTAATTTTAAGTGGCACAGAATTAGCAGAATTACCATTCAGCCCCACAGTTTGCATGGTACTATCTGCTGACATTTACAGCTCTTTATTCTTTCTTTTTTTAATTTTTTCCCTTTGTGACAACATCTAGGAACAGACTTAAAGGAACAAGTTTCAAGTTTGCTTGGCCACATCTTTTAATTTTTTTTTGGTATTTCTTACTGGAATTTGCTTAGAAACCTTAGTAGTTCCATTTCAGTGTCACTAAGTCTAAATATTTGATTGAATATGTTTTGTGTCTCACTACTTATCTCCCTGATAGTTCTACTTCCTCTTGATTTTATTTTTCTTTCAGTTATTCTTTCAGTTCCACCAGTCCTTCCAGATAACAGAAATGATACTCAGACACAAAAAATCAATAGATGTTGTAAAAATAATATAATTTTGCTCTCTTCTTTGTACACAAACTGGGTCCTTAGATGAAAAGCTGGCTAGAACTCATCTTTACACTTCTGCAATTAACAGATGTGCGAATGTTGTTTAGCAGGGTGTCAGAGCATCACATCTGCCCACATCTCTGCAGGCTCCTTCCCTAACCATTCCCAAAAGCAATGCGCTTGCTTTCTTCAAATAGCAATACCCATATACTACTGTGGTTTTAAGATGCACTGGATTTTATCAAGCTTATTATTATTCTTTATAATTACTCTTAAGTAAAAAAAAAGCTAGTAGGAATTGTTTACAGTTAGTTGTACTTGTCTCTTGGTTCTAAGTACAGTGAGAGTAGATAAAGTATTTGGAATAATTTAGCAGAGCTGCACACATTGGAGAGGATACGACCCACACAGCCTCTTATGCTGTCTCATAGCAGCCTCACCACACATATGATAAAAGGCTGCATGTCCCCTGAATAACACAGGGTGCCTTTTATTCAGCTCTGTGCTGTAATGAATCATAGAATGGTTAGAGCTGGAAGGGACCTTAAAGTTCACCAAATTCCAACCCCCCTGCCATGGGCAGGGACACCTCCCACTAGAGCAGGTTACTCAAAGCCCCATCCAGCCTGGCCTTGGACACTGCCAAGGATGGGGCATCCACAGCTTCTCTGGGCAACCTGTTCTGGTGTTTCACCACCCTCACACTAAAGAATTTCTTCCTGAGATCTAATCTAAATTTCCCCTCTTTCAGTTAAAAAACATTACCCCTTGTCCTATCACTACAATCCCTGATCAAGAGTCCCTCCCCATCTCTCCTGAAGGCCCCCTTTAGGTACTGGAAGGCTTCTATAAGGTCTTCCCAGAGCATCCCCTTCTCCAGGCAGAACAACCCCAGCTCTCTCAGCCTGTCATGAGGCACCAAAGTGTCCATCAGCAGCAGGGCAAGTGACACAGGCAGTTGAAACACAACATATGCAGTTTGTGTATACAGTGGAAAACAATGTTAAATAGCATAATTAGCCAAGCATAAAGGTGATGGAAAATCTAGCAGGTGTGTCGTTTCTTCTAGAAAATAGGGCAAGTGTTTGAGTGTATTAAGTCTGTCAGGGAAATGCTAAAGAAGAAATGAGGGACTGCTAAACCTGTCCATGTAGAAGCACTCAGATGCTAAGTAAGAGGACAAATTTATAAGCATACAAACAACACCACTTTAAGTGCATATAGGGTATATATATGAGTATATAGTACGAAGAGTATTTGAATCTTTGTTTCTCATGCAAAAAGATGATTAATTTGTAACAGGCAATAAATGAGGCAATAGATCATAAAGCCTCAAAATACAAAATATTTTTACCTTTTACTGCTGTTTCCCATCTCTTTGACAATAGCTTTAATCTTCTCCGCTGAGGTACTGTATGTTATTTTTTCCAACAAATTAAAGTCTTCTGCATAGAATTCATTTTCATCTAAAGGACCAAGTACCTTAGAGAAAAAAAATGTTACTAAGCACAGAATGTCCCAACAGTATCTTTTGTAAGCAAAAATATACTAATTTTTTAAATTAATGCATAATATTCAATATGCAACTCCTAGTCCTATATACACCAATATTATTAATTATATAGTACTAAGCTATATAGTAACTATACAGAATTAGCTTTTTATAGTAATGTAATTACAGTTAATTATCAATCACAAAGAACAGCTGTGATGGAAATATCCATGATATTTTTCATTACACATACCTATGTAAAGGAGTACAATATTTGGAAATAACAGATCTAAGTTTATATACTTAACAGAGCTTTTTCTTAATTTCAAACTGAAATTCAAATTACTATCTGCCTACTGCACTCTTTAGTTGTTTAATTCTGTGAACACAATCATAACTTCCCAAGGCTTCTCAGATGAAGTAGAGTGGAGAAAAGGGAAGAAGAGAAAAAATGCTGGATATGCAGAGACAAAACCCGGAACTACTACATTTTTTTGGTGTCTGAAGGAAAAGAAGGTTCCTTGAAGTCCCAGAAAATAGCTTTGAGGATGCTGTTTGGATTTCCTACTCAGAAGTCTAGCAGGCTAAACTGACTTTGAGAGTCAACCTCAAGAGCCTAGAGGGCTCCCAGTGTCATGATTTAAGTTTGCTGCTGAATGCCTCTCTCCCAAAATTCAACTGCTTCCTAAAAATGAGGTTATCTAACAAAATTCCACTTTTTAATTTTTCATTAATATTAATGATGCATGAGATACAGAAAACCACAGTGATATGCTACTTTTGTAGAAGTCATAATTAGAAAAAAAATTAAAATGTTTGCTCATAAAAACAAGCCTTCAGTGCTGAAATAGCAAGGATAGAAATTAAGGATATCCCATGTTTTTTTTCAAAGTAATCTTTTAAAGTGAAAACACACTTTTAGACAGATGAATACCTATTATCAAATTTATCCAAGTATTTTTAAGAAACGTGGTTCCTCAAAACATGACATTATCCGAGCTTTTTTAGGCAAAAACATGAATAATGGTTTCTAAAATAACACTGCATATTTAGTTGGGGGGTTGATACAAAAAAGCCAACATAATTCTTTTGTGCTTCATCAACAAAAGTGCTTTCTGTGGGTTTGTTAGTAGTATTCCAGTTGTATCTCAGATGTCATTTAGGATGCACAAGAGTAATTAAGAATATAATTTAAAGAGATTTTCCCATAATAAGACACCAGTGTAGTATCTCTATTTCTTCCTAACAGTAGAGCAATAAATAGAAAATACAAAAGGGTTAACTCAAAGAGCAATTTGTATAAATTGCATTTGTAATGTAAGGTATGGACTGTCATTAACAAGTACTAAATATTGAACCCAGTATTGTATTTTTTTTTTAATGACAGCTCATCTATAGCAGCACTGTAATTAAGGCTATTGGTTTCAGGATATAAACACAAGAAATAAAAACAAAAACCAAAAACTACTATACTTTTATCCGAACATTAAGAATTAAGACTGTGGAACAACTTAATGTATATAAACAATAAGAGGTTTTATAGCTTGAAAACTATTCCAGTCAATGTAATCATTTTTTATTATATATGCAGCAGTTTATCCTATCCCAAATGTGTAAAATATAGGTAACTTTGAGATCAAAATTTATTCTTAAATATCATAAATAATGTGTCAAATATTAACATATTTAGAGAATGTTGCCAGATTAAGTCTTAAAAAGCTTTGGAATGACATAAGTATATAGTAGCTTCAATGGAATGGAGCTAACGAACAAATTAGGAGTAAAACAAAATAAAAACCAAGGCAAACATTCATATCATTCTCTAACAACAGGCTGAATAAGTGGAAAAACAATACAGTGCATTTTCTTTAGCTTGAAACTGAAGTTCCAGGAAGTAAAATGTCCCTACAAAAGGATTGAGATAACTAAATTTCTTTCTTACCCTGCCATTGCTCACAACAGCCATTTGCCCAGGGAGCAGCTTAAGAACCTCCTGGCAGAACATCTGGTGGGTTTTAATTATATCCAGTCCTAAAGTGTTGTACTTCTTCTCAAAAGCATCATCATCCATTCCCTAAAGCGAAGGTAAAGCAGGAGATGGTAGAATGATTAAGCAAAAATACATTTTGTAACAGCAGAAGTAAGCAAAGATTTTTCTTCAAGTTATGTGGTAACAAGAAATCAAAATAAAGCAACACTCTCAGCTTCACTGAAAGTACTATGACAATTTGTGTGGAGCCATGGCCTTCCAAATAGCTAGTGTGCAGCTTTTACCCAACTGTGAATAACCACGGGAGGAAATCTGAGCCTGAGATTAAACACTTTTTCTAACATCCAGCACAAATTTCCATGGAAAGTAACAATTTTACTGTTAACAACTGAACTGTACTCTCACCTTTAGAAAAAAGGTATATTAAAAAAAAATAATAATCATATTACTCTGAAAACCTAACAGTAATTTTAACACAGGCATTCGATACAGCTTAAACATGTTTTGGGGTAGCCAACATCATCCAGTAAGGCACATAACAAATCAATTTTCAAAGTGGGAAGAAATGCTGGAACTTTGCCATGTTTACAATGGCATTATACCCCACCTGTTAAAATTATCCTGCTATATTAAACTCTACTGATAACATATTTCTTCATTAGAAATATACAGACTAAGCAAATATTGTAATTCAGACAATTAATATAACAAAATAAATTACTAACATGCATACATTGCTTAATTAGCTACTTCTATGTCTTTCAAAACGTATTGGACAATGAAATAAGAGCATGACCCAAATCAGCTAATTATTTTTCCAATATGGTGTCACAGAGTTCTCTTAATCTTCCAAATCTTCCTACCTCCTACTACAATTTACAGCTCTTTCTGAAACAAAAAACTGTAGTTTGCAGCTGCTATTTGGTAACTCATCTCTACGTGCAAACTTTGAAATAAGATTAGTATTTTAAACCAAGGAATTTTCATAGAAACACACCAGAGCATGTTGGCCAGAAGTATACAATGCTCATTAACATGAACCACTTCAGTCTGTGCCTATTACTGCTCACAACCACAACAGTAAGGTAAAACCAGTTACTTCTGAAGTCTTAATTCTTGATAAATATTAATACTGTAATTTTAATGGAGAGAGCTTTAAAAAAACCCCCAAACAATTAAGAATTAAACTATTTTGATCTCAATCCAGTGTTTGTACTCTATATTTTTCAGTACTCTTGTACTTCCTTTCTTTAAATTCTCTATTCTTCATCACACAAGAATTATCAAAAATCCAAATCTGCTTGAGCAGAAACTATGTAAGGCTTATAAAATTCACAACATTTGGTGAAACACTGTTACTCTCAACAACATCTACTTAAAATAAAATATACGTAAAATGAAAAAGGAAGTAGTCTGAATCAGTTTGCACTCACTGGGGTGAGGAATTTCACAATTTTAGTTCCAGCAGCAAGGGATTTTGCTGTCTCTTCCTTAGTGAGTTTACTTAGGAAACTTTTTAAGCTGCTGTTGTTTTGAGTTAGAAAAGCAGTCAAAACTCCTCTTGCAATGGCTGTGTTATCTTCCTTTATTTTTGATGAAGGATTGTTCAAAATCCCAATTCGTGTATGACTGCTTGTTTTCTGTAAAGAAAAATACAGAAGAATACACAATTTTACAGTTCCATCTGCTGTTACCTAATGTATTCATATCTATTATAACTCTGTGAAATGCCCTTAAGTATTTAATTTTTTGCAGCTACTTGTCTTTAGAAAACATACATCAATGCCTAATTCAGAACTTCAGCTAGGAGTAAAAGCGTTATTAGTAAAGATTTACCTATTCTGTAATACATATTTGAAATACAAGATTTTTCAATAGAACAATTGCCTTTGAGCATTCCGCAGAAATTCATTTTTAACAAAGGAGAGACACACAAGTGTTCGTTTCCAGACTTCAGAATTGGTTTGGTGGATGTTTTTCTATTTTTCAAAGACTATCAAACTAAGCATCAAATAAATACAAGAAAATTTATCCACTTATCACTTTACTCTTATTCAGCAGGAAAATCTTTCACTTGCTGAAATCAGGGATGCCGCTTAAATTTTACTAGAGAGTGTGATGATCAAGTAGTGTCACTAACTGAAGAAAAGGTAGATGGACTCTACTGCAGTAAAGAATACAAAAATAAGGGATGAAATCACTGGTATTCACCACGGGTAAACAGCAAACTTTAAGCCCCTGAGAAAAGTTTTGTTAAAACACTTATTTGAAAAGCTTGAAAATGTGTACTTTAAACTATTCCTGATAAGAGTGCTCTCACTGGGAAGAAGACAAGGACAAACGAGGCTACATCAGGAGATGCATGGCAAGCAGGTCAAGTGAAGTTCTTATTCTCCTCTACCCAGTACTTGTGAGGCTGCACTCGGACTGCTGTGCACTGGTCCCCCAGTGCAGTAAAGATGAGATGCTGGAGAGGCTACAGCAAAGGGCTAACCAAGATGGTCAGAGACCCATGAGGAGGAATTGAAGAAGCTGGGCTTGCTGACTCTGGCAAAGAGGAGGCTACGGAGAACCCTAAATAGCCACCAACAACTACTGAAGGGAGAGTGAAAAACAAGAGAGAGGCAAACTCTTCTTGGTAGCGGCAAACAGCGTAACGAGGGCTAATGGCCACAGACTTTGGCTTGGCTGACACCAGGAAAAGCTATACTATGAAGGTGGTGCAACACCAGAGCAAATTATCAAGGGAAGGGGTGGAGTTGATGGAGTTGCCTCCTTGGAAATTTTCGGGACTCCTTAGAGCAAAGCTCCAGCTGACCTGATCTAACGATGGCGATAGTCCCGATCTCAGTGGGAGGCTGAACTAGACGACATCGAGAAGTGCAGTCAAGACATCCCTATTTTTTCCAAATGACATTAAAATATATTAGTACTTCTCAAAATAATATATTATGTATTAGCTGGAATAGTTAAAAGCAAGTTCCCTTCGGCCACTTCCCCTCCCAGACTCTTGCATGTACACGAGGTGTCTGTGCCAGTTCCGCACCTCTCAGAAGTTCTACTCGACCCTGAGCCAACAGACAAAAAGGACTAAAGAAAGGAGTAGAGAATCTCTACACAAATCAGTAGACCTTTAAAAAATACTGTGTTTTTGTTGGTCACAAAACTTTGGAAATCATTAGATTGAGCACTACAACTGAAAATGAAGTTTAACTAAACCGAATGTATAAATTAGAATGAACATAATCAATTCAACTGCTGTTTCACAGAAGATCCAACAAACCTTGTTTAGAACAGCATTTCCTAGTGCTTGTCCTGGATTCTCCTCACTAACTACATGGGGAATTGCCTAGACAGTTCTTGCTTCCTAGAGTTGGGAACTAGGGCATTATTTTCCTCGCTGAAGGGGGGAAATACTGAAACTACAGTGGCAATGTACCAGTCAGGCTTGGGGGACAGATATACCAGTCAGAAAAATGAAATGTTTTCCCTGTAACAAGGACTTCTACTGCATATCCCTCCCTGCAGATTTTCAAGCCTCTTTTAAGGACATATTTGATATCATGTGCTCTCTGCAATACTCTGATTTTCTAATTCCCTTATGATGGTGCCTATTTCATTCCTGATTATTAAACCTACATGTTTTCCCAGTTTCAGTCTAATCACTCTTCTAAACTCCCCAGCACTGAGGTTTTTTGTCATTTATATTCACATGACACTTACTCGTGTACTTTAAATTCTATTATTACTACTGAAGAACTTAAAAATAAGCAAACCTCAAATGTAGATGATCCTCTTAGCATATTAAAATGCAAAAAAGAAAACCTGTGATCTGTCTCAGAAGCATACAAAGAGTATGTGGAGAAATGGTCTCTTCATAGCCACAGTTATGCTGTATGAGACGTGAACACTGCGTAATGCTTCACATGAACAGGCATTATCCCAACTTCCCTGGTCCAGGTAACATGCCAGGTTACCTCACTGGAGGTGGTGTGCAATTGGGAAGAAATTAACCCTTTAAATATCCTAGTTTGTCTACAGAATCAGAAGTCCACGACTCAAGTCATTATTTACAGGCCTGTAAGATGCCAGTGCTGCAGTAGAATAGAACAAAATGAAAGCCCTGTCTCATGTGTCTGCACCTGACTCACAAAAAGGTATTTAAGAGCCTATTTTTTGAATGTGCACAGTGTTGTTAAGAACATATCCTTAATAATTATTTTAAAGAAAACTGCTAAAAACTCACCAGGTGTTTCAAGGCATTAGAAAGCAGCCGTCTCCCAGCTGGCTTATCGAAATCAGCAATAATCCACATCGTAACAGCATACAATGCATCTTCATCTGAAAATTTAAGATAATCCTGCTTTACATTCTGGAGAATCTTCACATGAGTAATGAATAATGAATTAATTCTGTTTGAGATTTTGAAGTTCATGTGTATGTCTGACTGTATTCACTTGTAAGACTAATCTTTGCCACATGAGAATCTTTTGTCTTCTGAATTGAAATAAAATTGTTAGGAGGTACTTTATCACATTAATATTAGAGTCACTAAAATAGCCCATCTATTGTTGTACCACGGAAACAAGAGGCCCCTAAATAATAAGCCAACTCCAATTAACAAGACCTGCTTTACCAGAGGTTTCTTGTGAACATATGATGAAGGCTGGTCATACAGCCAGAAATGAAAAGAATTAAGTAGTTACAAGAATGCCTGAGTTAGGCCATTCACTTTCCCCGGTAGCAAAGGGAGAGTCCTTCAACCAAAGGCAGGGCAAAACTTACAATTTCTGGACAAAAATGGGAATATACCAAAGACAGCCCAAAGAAAGTAAACTACAGTATAAGTGTATACACAGAAAATGTCCCTTTTTCCTGGTCTATAGCTTCCTGTTATTTATTCTTTACAGAACAGCAATGGTACATGAAAAATTCTGCAAAATTATTTGTAGAAGAATATCAGTCTACTCGGGTCTATCAAATATCCTCTGAAAGGTGACACATATAGATGTGAATTTTACAAGGTTCTGGTGAGATTCTAGGAAGAGGTTATGACTATGTGTTGTCTAGAGAAACACACTGGGGATAGAGACTTGAAATGTAGATTCCATCATAAAGGTTATGGGTTTTACAGAAGAGATCTGAATCTTAGAAATGAGCCTGCAGATTGAAGGCCAGTCATCATTTGGCAACTACCCGGGATGTCCCTGTGGTTGTCGACAGAGAATCAAATGCAGTCAAGTAGCTTTATTCCAAAGAAATGTAAGAATATAGCATTTCTTTCTGATAATGGAATAAGTAAAAACTATGTTAACACCACATAATAATTACTGAAAGAATAGCACTCTGCTAAGAGGATTATTCTGTACCTTGATGGACTGATGCAAATGAGCAGTTGTTAACTATCTATTCCTAGATGTTAACAAGGTACAGACTAATGCAAAATTCCATGCAGTATTACATCTCCACTGTTGTAATTAGCATTTCTCCTAACTTGCATATGCAAGGAAAAGTACTTGCATATGCAAAGTGAATATTTTACATGAAAAATATTTTAAGCGTACAAAAAAAGTGTGCATTTTAGTAAGTAAAACATATAAATGAGTGATAATCCATCAGAACATACGTATTTTTTTCTTTTCTACAGGAAGACAAAGATTCAGACACCAAAATTAAAAAAATCAACTAGAGGAAAAATCATAAAGAGATACTGAATGCTAACAAATAAGAAAAAAAATAAATTTTCTATTAAACTGTGGAAATGCCTAATTTTGGTATAGACTGCAAAGACTATAAAGTCTTGTCTTGATAATGCTGCTAATAAGTCACCTGAAAACTGAAAAGACTCTTTTTAATATTCTTAAGTAAAACTATATCACTTTGAAAACTGAATCTGTTTTCAAAGCTGCAAAAGTCTTACTTTTTAATTTCATGTCTGTAAAACAAAAAAACAACTAGCCATCCCATTTCAAAACTACAAAATTTAAAATAAATATGTATAACAACAGGGTAGTTAGTATAATAATATTAGGATATGACCTGGCTCCTGAAAGAAGATATTGGAACATAAGGACATTTACTTATTTACATAGGATCCTTGGGATACTTTATTTGGGATATTTTTTTGGGATATTTATTTGGGATATTTTATTGGCAAATTTCAACAATTTTTTAATACCCATATATACATATAACCCATATACAAAATTAATGTACCCTTTTTTGTTAAATACTTCATGTTGTCTGAAATTACAGCACTTTTATCTTGTGAATCAAGAAAGGAGAAAGTAGAGAAGTCTTCCACATCAAATGGAACTGCAAAATGTAAAACACAACATGTTAGACTTTAAAAAACAAAAATTGTAACAACAGCCAACCCAAAAAAAGTAGTTACCAGATGTGGATCTGAAATGTATGTATCTTCTGTCTGCTCCAAGAATAGTAGGGTTTATACGGGAAACTACATTGTGCTGATCCATAAGAAAATCTATTGCATTTGTATGATCATTTAACAAACCCTGTAGTAAGAGAAAAGAAACTATATAAGTACAGATTGAATTTAAGACAAACAAAGACCAAGTATTTGTATGATCTTTCAACTGAGCTTAAAGATTCTATATACACCAAGTTATAGACAATTTTAATTGAAAAACGTATAAATATCACATAGACATTATCTCAAAATACCAGATGGACATTTTTCAATGAACAACTGCATTATATTCTCAGTTTCTGGTTGAAAAATTCCGTATGATTACTCCATGCTTAGTTGATCCTTCAACCTTGTATAATCTAACTATACTGTTTCAAAACCATGACTGCAAATTAGTGCAATAATGTAATTTCAGTTGTCATGTTATTAATTTCAAGCCACCTCATTATAAAATAATTAATATATAAACACGACTCAAACAATCCACTGCCAAATATTTCATCTCATTTCATTCAGAAATGTTAAACATACCATGAACACTGCCCTCTGGAAGAACCCGGTGGCATCAATAATCCTCTGAAGAACAACTGTCTCTAGCTCCGCAGCATCCATCTCTTCTCTGTTAAAGGGCACGCCATTAAACAGAGCTTGAGGCAACGAACCCAGGCCAGTCTTTTTATAAAAGGTTGCTCCTGCCTGATCGTATCAGAAATATCACAGGATTAAACAGACTGTGGCTGGCTGTTGCAAAATATGAAACTAATATCGAGAGACAATGAAATTAAATCTCCAAGCACTGCTCACTGTCACACCTCCTCATGAGTAGCAGGAACAGAAGAAGAAATGTTTGGAAACTAAACAGGACGCATGGGACTCATTTCTTAAATATGATGACACAAGAAATTACAGATCTATCTATGGGGTTTTAAACTTTTGCTTTATCATCTTGTTGAGAAATCTTATTTTATTTTCCTGAATATTTTTAGCAAAAAAAAAAATAATTAAGGAAATAACATTGGAGAAGGACCTTGAGACAGTCACAGCTTGAGATGGATCACACCTAGACCTTTTTCCTCAGAGACAGCACCCCCAAAATGCTTTTATCTTCAGAGGCCAAGTCTTATTTGATAAGAAAGCAGAACACACTCATTTTTCCCAAAGAAAATTCAGTGAGACAAATAGAAACAAAAATGTATTTTAAGTAATTCCCCCTTCCTATTCTGTATCCTTTCATGTTTTCTTTCAGCGTCACTGTCTGGATGGCTACAAACTCTATGGCAGTATCCAAGCTTCCATCTTTCTGTCACCCCACTGTCTCCTCCCTGATCTTCACCACAGCCTCACAGTCCCCTTCCTGTAGGAAGCTCCTACAGGGGGCTTCCTCCTGGTGCATCTCCATCTACTTTTCTTCCTTTAATATTTTCTGTGGGAAGCCTTCCTCCCCTAAGTGTATCCAGCTTTTTCCAGAGCGGATGCAAACTGCCCTTCTTCACAAAGCCTCCGTGCAACTCATTGAGGAACAAGCAACATAAGGAAAACAGCACCTTTTTTTTTTTTTGGCTGCCCAGATGCACTTTTTTAAAGGATCATAATATCCTTCATACAATAAATTTAAAAAGAAATAAAACTGGATAGCATGTGTCAGAAACACAAGATTCTAGAGATGGCATGGCTGAAGACGAATGAAGGAAAACTATTTTTATACATGTATTTTAGCAGAAAATGGTCTACATAATCAATTACAGCTAAAAACATGTCTTCTCTATAGCCTTTAAATCAAAATCCATAGCTATCTTTCCCAAATGAAATTATAACCAGAAAGCACAATTAAAGGAAACATTGATTTGCCTAGAAGACAGGCTTCAGCTCTTCACCCAGAAGACTCAGGTCTTCTCAGGTAAACAATACCTACAGTGCAAGAGTGACTTACTAGAAAAAAACCACTTGTGCTCCTGAAAGCAGGAGGCTTTTAATAATGAGAGTAGTAATGCGAGGTAAACAATACCTGAAGTGCAAGAGTGACTCCTTGACGTGCTTACTAGAAAAAAACTACTTGTGCTCCTGAAAGGAGGAGGCTTTTAATAATGAGAGTAGTAATGCAGAAATCCTTTCAAGATTTCCACTAATTCCTGAATAGTGGCTGAAGAAAAATTTAACTCAAAGCTACTGTATTTACATACTTGAACATCTTGCAATCTTTCAGCTTGGTAAATGCAATTAATTGTGTACTGCAGTATTTCTTAGCGCTTTGCTCTCCACATACCTTCCTCCCTTCATCGTATTCAGAATGAACACCTAGTATACTCTGAGCATCAGCATGGGGGTATTCTCTTCTAAGAAGATCTTTCACATGATTTACTGTTAGAACATTTCCATCTTGCACTTCATGGTACATCTGTAAAAATTATAAGAAAAAGAAATCAGTAAAATGTAATACATTTCCAATCGCATTTAATATAAGTAAATAAAGTAAATTTCACCTTTTTACAGTGCTGTAATAATTTTTATATCAGTATACTTTTATATTGCTTTTATTGCTATATTGCAGTTTTTATATTGCTTTAGTAATTATCACCATTGCAAATATGCTCAATCTTTCATCAGCATACTGTTCTGATTAATCTATTATTATACCTTTAGTCTAAATCTGAAGTGGCAAACTAAATACACTTATGTGAGCTGAACGTGAAAGGCTATTTCACTCCACTGATTAGAGAACAAAGCTAAATTCTTACTATAAGCTACCTAACCATGCAAAGTTACCTGAATCTATATGGGATGAATCCAAGCCTGAATTAGGCAGTGACACTTTTTCTTACAGTGGTAATTTTTTCTTACCAATGCTATTTTATTTCATAGCATAAGATTTTATTACTTCCATCAAATGCACAAAAAGAATTTGCAGTGAAAATTATTCCATCCATTTCTTTTCAAATGAGGAACAGTAAATTTGTCTCTAGAACGCTGAATATCTCAAACTGGTATTTCACCGACTCTGTTATTGTTATCTTTTAATTACATTTATCATCTCCTTTTTATATTATGAAACAAAGTAAATAGAGAAACCAAACATTTTAAAAAGCACATTGTAAATTGATATTTTTATGATTTGGTGATGGATAGTAGTCATGCATGTCAGCTCCTAACACTTGTAGCTTCATTCCATAGCATGTTAATGCTATACATGTTTATAATAGTTTGTTTCTATGTAAAGTAAATGCAAATGTATCATGTTGTCACAAGGTAGCAAAATACTAACTATATGGAAAAGTAACAAGTTTAAAAAAACAAAAGAAAAAAAGAGGTGGTTTCTTGTGAAAGAACTAACATTAATTATTGAGGTAAAGGCTTGAGAGGTGTCAGATTCCTCTGCAATGTAATTAAAAGTTCTCCAAACAGCTATTCCAGCATCTTCATTTCCATCAATTTCTTCTTTAGTACTTAAAATGAAAACAAATCCAATCCTATAAAGAAACAGAGATCATACAGTTTAAACCAGTATCAGTTTTGCATACATTCTAATACCAACAGAGTTAAACAAGATGTTTGCACTTAAGTAATCTGTCCAGCATGTAAACACAAAATACTGACAGTAATTAAGATTTCTGGGAGTTATCAGAATTTACTCACAGCCTTTTTTTTCCTTATGTGAGCAAAGGTTATGACACTGTTTACATTCCTGCCATCATCTCTTAACCTTGATTCTCTAGTCTGAGCATAATCTTTTTTTTTTTTTTCCCTGAAATGAGTGTTTTGAGTAGCTGCAGGGAGACATGCTGGGGTCCTGATGCCCAAAATAAAGAAAAAAGAGGTGGTTTCTCGTGAAAGAACTAACATTAATTATTGAGGTAAAGGCTTGAGAGGTGTCAGATTCCTCTGCAATGTAATTAAAAGTTCTCCAAACAGCTATTCCAGCATCTTCATTTCCATCAATTTCTTCTTTAGTACTTAAAATGAAAACAAATCCAATCCTATAAAGAAACAAACAGAGATCATACAGTTTAAACCAATATCAGTTTCACATACATTCTAATACCAACAGAGTAAAACAAGATGTTTGCACTTAAGTAATCTGTCCAGCATGTAAACACAAAATACTGACAGTAATTAAGATTTCTGGGAGTTATCAGAATTTACTCACAGCCTTTTTTTTCCTTATGTGAGCAAAGGTTATGACACTGTTTACATTCCTGCCATCATCTCTTAACCTTGATTCTCTAGTCTGAGCATAATCTTTTTTTTTTTTTTCCCTGAAATGAGTGTTTTGAGTAGCTGCAGGGAGACATGCTGGGGTCCTGATGCCCTCTCATCAATACATGCCATTCTTACCAGCCCTTCTCTTGCTTTTTTTACCTTCTGGGGCTTCCCCACCCTCCCATTACCATTCATTCTCCATTCACAGCAATTTTAACACATCTACTACAATTCGCTTCATTTCCATTAAATGAAAAAAGTCCTAAAAATATGAGGCTTGAGAGGAGACAAAAAAAAGAAAACCCCTATTGGAGGAGGTATTTTGATACTGTTCTAACTGAAGAAAACCCTGGGTTGATGAGGCCATCCTCTTAACCTTGATTCTCTAGTTTGAGTATAATCTATTTTTCTTTTTTTTTTTCCCTGAAATGGGTGTTTTGAGTGGCTGCAGGTAGAAATACTGGGGTCCTGATGCCCTCTCATCAATACATGCCATTCTTACCAGCCCTTCTCTTGCTTTTTTTATCTTCTGAGGCTTCCCCACCCTCCCATTACCATTCATTCTCCATTCACAGCAAACACATCTACTACAATTCGCTTCATTTCCATTAAATGAAAAAAGTCCTAAAAATATGAGGTCCGAGAGGAAAAAAAAATAAATGAGAAAACTCCTCTTGGAGATGGTATTTTGATACTGTTCTTACTGAAGAAAACCCTGGGTTGATGAGGCCATACTACCTTTACAGCATGAAGTCTAACAGAAATTTGGTGTTCTACAATAGCAGGGGAAATTCAAATGTAACAGCCACTTTTGTCTATACAAAACTTCTTGATTAAATTGAGCATCATAATTTGCACATATAACGATGTCACTGAAAGGTTTGTCACACACTCCAAAAAGCTCAAAAGTGAAAGATACTGATGCAACGATCCTCTTTCTCCAGGGAACAAAGGTTTTGAGCAAGAGACAATCTGGTCAGACAGACTGCAAACAGCAGCACAATGTCTAAAGCACAACGTCTTTCACAGACTGAAGACCCAGGAGACTTAAAACCAAAGATATTTGAAGTTATATTGCCTGCTGAGAACACATGAACATCCTTCTGGTCTCTCCTATGAGAAATTAAAATGTAACAGCTACTTGTTTGCCTATACAAAACTTTTTGATTAAATTGAGCATCATCATTTGCGCATGTAACTCATAAGGATGTCACTGAAAGGTTTGTCACACGCTCCAAAAAGCTCAAAAGTGAAAGATACTGATGCAACGATCCTCTTTCTCCAGGGAACAAAGGTTTTGAGCAAGAGACAATCTGGTCAGACAGACTGCAAACAGCAGCACAATGTCTAAAGCACAACGTCTTTCACAGACTGAAGACCCAGGAGACTTAAAACCAAAGATATTTGAAGTTATATTGCCTGCTGAGAACACATGAACATCCTTCTGGTCTCTCCTATGCTACTTGAAAGGACTTCTGATATTTACAGTCAGTTCACTCTTAGCGGGGACAAGAAAGATCCTTCCATTGAGGGTCTTCACTACTTGAAAGGACTTCTGATCTTTACAGTCAGTTCACTCTTAGCCAGTACAAGAAAAGGACAAGAAAGATCCTTCCATTGAGGGTCTTTGGGACTGGTCTCTTAACCTTGATTCTCTAGTCTGAGCATAATCTTTTTTTTTTTTTTCCCTGAAATGAGTGTTTTGAGTAGCTGCAGGGAGACATGCTGGGGTCCTGATGCCCTCTCATCAATACATGCCATTCTTACCAGCCCTTCTCTTGGCTAAGAACAGAAATTTCCAAAGGAGCTGTGCACCCCAACTGTTTTCAATTTCCTAGAGCATTCATTGTAAGAAAACATTTGGAGTATAAATGAAAATAACTTCAGAATTAATGAATTTGGAATGAATACTGAAAACAGGATTTAACCATGTATTGACCTTCAAAACAAGTGATATCACTACTCTCCTTTGAAAGACTCTATGCCAATACTTTATTAATGAACTTGATAATTAATTAAACAGGCTTAATACTGATTTTTCTATTACTTCTTTCAACTAATTTTCTTCTGCTGTGAAAACTAAACTAAAATAAACAAATGGAATATATTGATTTAAAAATTTAATTAAAAAATGGAGCACTAGAAAAGAGTTCTTCCTTCCTGTCTCACGTATCTTTGTATTCAGTCTTTCACTTATTGTAGCTTGAAGTGTAAAATCAGATCTTTCAGGCATGCACAGAATCTAAAACTGGGATCTGTCTGCACAGGTATATTATCCTTATGCAGATTTAATTATGACATCAGTACCTTATTTACTCTGCTTTGCACTGCAACTCCCCTTAGAATTTATAACTTTGCTAAAATAGTTGAAATGCAGCAGAATAAATTTAAAAATTCTGTACACTCCCTTCTCCACTGATTATACTTAAATGATATTTTGCAGATTTCTATAATATACTCATATACATCTATGCCAATATTTAACTTTGAATACATAATGCAGCCTACTTCATATTACACACATCTTATGCTTCATTATATTTTTTTCTTACACATTGCTTGTACTTTGGTTGTCTTTTCATGTACTCAACTTTGTCACTTTGATTGATTACATCAGTGGACAAGGGGAGAGCTGTGATTTTGTCTACCTGGAATTCTGTAAGGCTTTGACACAGCTTCCCACAACATCCTTCTCTCTAAATTGGAGAAATGTAGATTCGATGGGTGGACTATCTGGTGAATAAGGAATTGGCTGGATGGTGGCATCCAGAGGGTAGCAGTCAATGGCTCAATGTCCAGATGGAGATCGGTGACAAGTGATGCCCTTCAGGGGTCCATACTGGGACCAGTATTGTTTAACATCTTCATCAATGACATGGACCATGGGATTGAGTGCACCTACATAAGGTTGGCGAGGATGCCAAACTGAGAAGCCCAGTTGACACACCTGAGGGACAGGATGCCATCCAGAGGGACCAGGACAGGCTCAAGAAGTAGGCCCATGTGAACCTCAGGAGATTCAACAAGGCCAAGTGCAAGGTCCTGCAACTGTCTCAGGGTAAGCCCTGGTATCAATACAGGCGGGGGGATGAAGGGATTGTGAGCAGGCCTGCCAAGGAAGACTTGGGGGGACTGGTGGATGAAAAATTGGGCATGAGCTGGCAATGTGTTCACAGGCCAGAAGGTCAATAGCACCCTGGGCTGCATCAAAAGAAGTGTGGCCAGCAAGTCAGGGAAGGTGATTCTGCCCCTCTGCTCCACTCTCAAGAAATCCCACCTGGACTGCTATGTCCAGCTCTGGAGTCCTCAGCATATCTCAGGGTAAGCCCTGGTATCAATACAGGCGGGGGGATGAAGGGATTGTGAGCAGGCCTGCCAAGGAAGACTTGGGGGGACTGGTGGATGAAAAATTGGGCATGAGCTGGCAATGTGTTCACAGGCCAGAAGGTCAATAGCACCCTGGGCTGCATCAAAAGAAGTGTGGCCAGCAAGTCAGGGAAGGTGATTCTGCCCCTCTGCTCCACTCTCAAGAAATCCCACCTGGACTGCTATGTCCAGCTCTGGAGTCCTCAGCATAGGAAAGACGTGGACCTATTGGAGAGGGTCCAGAGGATGGCCACAGAAATGATCAGAGAGCTGGAGCACCTCTCCTATAAGGAAAGGCTAAGAGAGTTGGGGTTGTTTACCCTGGAGAAGAGAAGGCTCCAGGGAAACCTGATTGTAGCCTTTCAATACATAAAGGGGGCCTACAAGAAAATTTAAATCAGCAGTAACTTTTTCCTTCACTTACTAAGTGATACAGAATATTACATACAGAGGAAAAATTAGTCTACAAGACATTCATAATTAGTATGCTTTATAACTTAAATCTGTCTGTATCTCAGTTCACTATCTCTAAAACAAGGACAGTTATCATTACCTTGTCTCATTAATGTACTATGAACAAAATTGATTGATAGTGGTGAATTATCTACAGGGAGTGTGAAAGGAACAGAAAAGCTTCTCACAAGACTGTGCCCAAGTCCAGTATTGTAGAGTACAGGAGGTAGAAAGCCATGAACTATATGGGGAGAATAAAATGAAATGCTGAGTATTTGTTTATTCAGCGAGTAGAAAATGTTCTTTGCAGTGAACACAGAAATGTGATGTGGGAAAAAAGTTTAATGTCATGTAGGTCAATGTATGACAATAATGTACAGGAGAGCTGCAGCTAGAGCTGCACCATCAGATCTTCCCTCCATACCCCAGATTAATATTCATTTTGTGCCCTTTTAAAGCAAATTATATTTCACATTTTTCCCAGATAAGTACTCACTGGATGCTCGCGTTTATGAAAAGTTACAAATAAGCTCAGTGGTGCTTCATTCATCATGTGGGAGTAGCTCATGACTTATTTTCTGTTTTACTCAAACAGATATAAAAAGTTTGCATTTCTCTGTCAAACTGTAACCATATTGCATTTAGAATTTTATTTACATTAATTCCTTGGAAGAGAGGTTAAAGAGTGCCATTAAGTTATCCCATAAATCAGAAGAATTTCACATGATATTTTTCCTTACAGGGCAGGAATAATTTGCTTCCTGTATTCTTCAATTCTAATCCTATACAATCCATACATCTCCTAAACTATATATCAATGCAGCAGAAGCAGACCTTTCATTATTTCACACCTCCAACTTCTAGTCTTCAGTGACAAATAAAAGCAATCTCATTGCTTGAAAAGAAAACCTAAACCAGTGGTGAATCTTCCATGAAACTGGCCGCAATTACTGAAATAGTTTTGTAATGGGACATGCATTCCTCCTTTAGAGGTCAGTGGCCTGCTGGTGCAAAATTTCCATCTTCGTCTTTTGTCTCTGAATCTTAGCAATGGTGCTACTTCAACCCATGGTAACGGTGACCCTATGAAGGAGAGAAGTTGTGGATGCCCCATCCCTGGAAGTGTTCAAGGCCAGGCTGGATGGGGCTTTGAGCAAACTGGTCTAGTGGGAGGTGCCCCTGCCCATGGCAGGGGGGCTGGAACTAGATGATCTTTAAGTTCTCTTCCAACTCGAACCATTCTATGATTTCAGTAAATCACGAGGCTACTTTATAATACAGTCAGTTGCCTAGTATGAAGAGACGAGATTGACAACTTGTTTACAAAGCCTGAAAACCAAGAAATACTTGGGAATTAAAATACTGCTTTTTATGGCAGCATCTAAAATAAAGAATATCTCAATTAATTGAGTTTGACATTCAGAAGTTAACTGTCCTGAGAAATCTATCAGCTGGAAAAACAGCTGTTTCTTGTTACAAAGAATATTCAGCTGTTGCGATCAACAGGCTGATGAATTCCGGTTTCAGGGTCTCCACGTCAACTTCACCAATGCCCCCTCACTCCTACACATTTTGAGAAACTTAATTTGATGACGTAGTCCTGGATACATCCACTGTCTTAGTCCATTATTATCCCTTTGTCACATGGCCAAATACAAAGAAAAATGTAATGATATATACGTATTCACATCCTGATTAAAAAGAAAGTCTAGGTTACCAGGAAGGTCCACTTTGCAGAACGTAGAATTTAACATTATTTATAATTCTGGGAATGTTTCATAGAAATAAACCACTTCACCAAAAATAGAGCTGTTACAGTCAATAGATAAAAGGTGGAAACATTGCTTTTGGAAATCAGATTAATAATCATGTATGATGCACTAAACAAATGGCTTTTCAGTACTATTCGCAGAACCACGCAGAAAACATGAAATTCTAACCTATGTGTACAATAAATGCAACATGTATTTTTCAATAAATTGTCTGTCCACATAGTAACACATAAATGATGCACAAAAATTAAGTTCTCCAAACTTACCAAATTATATACATTGCGTCTAATCTGCTGTATAACTCCAGGAAATGTGGGCTTCAGCAGTTCCTGATAGCTTGCAGGCCACGTGCTATAGCTGTGATCTTGTTCTATATTATTAACCCACTAAAACAAAAAAGCCCCTCATTTTAAAAAAACATGCATTAAACACTAAGTTATGTATGTATAAATAAAGCCATTTTAAAGCACACGAAAAGTCTGGAAAGAGTAACGTTTTTTATCTTCTTTTTGAAATAGTAAGAGAAAATAGCTTTTTAAATTAACATTTTTTCCCCTTTTCAATCAAACTGCATTTTTGCAGTACATAATAAAACTAATAATGGATGGAAAAGGAAAAAAGCGCTTTTGTACTCTGTATCTGTGAATAAAAGCATTTTTCCAACTGTGCAAAATACTTTTACAATACAAAGGTTATTACAGCATGTCACACATATCTAACACAGCATAATCACCTTGTAAAACAACTACAGTATTTATCTATAACCCACAGTAGCACTTTGTATATATATCAAAATAACTAAGTAGTTAACATATAGAAAATTTTTTCTACTGTTTTCTCTGCAAACCTGTTTGCTTGGCAAACAGAAGACTAAAATATGGTTCTCTCACATGAATAAATTAAGTATTTTGGTGCCTTTTTCCCTGACACATGACCTTTATAATGAAAACTGCATTAACTTTGGAAAAGAAGGGGGGGGAAAGCAAAGTAATTGGACTATTAGAAAGCAAATATTTAAGTTCTTCATAATTCAGTCATCATACCTTCAAAGCACCTTTAGCAGTCTTGCATAATACAAGGATATTACTTACATAGCTAGATTAATTGCCATCAAATTCTATAGCTATGAGTGTGCAACCACTCTTAGATACATTCCTCTTTCCTTTTAAATGCCCTAAGTCTTAAAATTTTAATAAGATATAAGCTAGAAAAATTAGTCCTAAAATACATTGAAGGGATATCACCCTCCAAAATATTTTACACTGCTTATCGATGTATGGGTTTTTATGCCTAGTATTTTAATTACTCTACAAAGAAAAAAATATACTGTCTTATACATAGCATCAAATACGCAATATTAAAATAAATAACTGTTTCATTACTCACCCTTATTGAAGAGTGACGAATATCTAGCGCATAATTGTCATCTGTGGGATGTATATGCAACCTCATAAATTTACTGAGGATCTCCTCTTTGATTCCAAGTTCATGAAGGCCATGCATCGCTTTTCCTTCCAGTTTAAGAGTCTCTAAGATACTTTTTCAAGAAAAAAAATGCATAACATCTACACAGAACTCTTGTCTTGACATAAAAAGAAAAAATACTTCAAATTCTTAACACAATGATTATTTTTAGTATAAATTTTTTTAAAACATTTGAGTGCAGAAGATTATTTCAAAATTATTTCAAAATAGAATTATAACATACTATATACTAATAACACTACACTTCTATGCCTTCAAATTATTTCAAAATAGAATTATAACATACTATACAAATAATAGGAAGCTTGCAAGTGTGTTGAGAGGCAGGTGGCAAGTGATGGAGACATAGACGAGCCTTAAATTTGCATCACAGAACCCTGAAAACAGTATGGAGGAAACACACAGGTACACCTCAAAAAAAAAAAAAAAGGTTTTTATGCCTAGTATTTTAATTACTCTACAAAGAAAAAAATATACTGTCTTATACATAGCATCAAATACGCAATATTAAAATAAATGTTTCATTACTCACCCTTATTGAAGAGTGACGAATATCTAGCGCATAATTGTCATCTGTGGGATGTATATGCAACCTCATAAATTTACTGAGGATCTCCTCTTTGATTCCAAGTTCATGAAGGCCATGCATCGCTTTTCCTTCCAGTTTAAGAGTCTCTAAGATACTTTTTCAAGAAAAAAAATGCATAACATCTACACAGAACTCTTGTCTTGACATAAAAAGAAAAAATACTTCAAATTCTTAACACAATGATTATTTTTAGTATAAATTTTTTTAAAACATTTGAGTGCAGAAGAATATACTAATAACACTACACTTCTATGCCTTCAAATTATTTCAAAATAGAATTATAACATACTATACAAATAATAGGAAGCTTGCAAGTGTGTTGAGAGGCAGGTGGCAAGTAATGGAGACATAGACGAGCCTTAAATCTGCATCACAGAACCCTGAAAACAGTATGGAGGAAACACACAGGTACACCTCAAAAAAAAAAAAACAAAACCCACACCTCTTTTCCAGGAGACACAAAAGGACTCTGCAACATTTGTTGCAATTTGAATATTCAATATGAGACTGGAAACAAACCTGAAGTACTCACCTATCAGAAGCAGCAAGATTTTCCAAATGTCTTTATTTCTACCTCATTTCATTTTGATTTTTCTCTATTCTGAAAGGTTTCTTCCAAAATATATTGAAATTAAACCTAGCACTAACATTAAGAAGTGCTACCAATATTTGCATCATTAACAAAAAAGATGCCAGTGTCTCCATCTCAAACTGGCTGAGAAAAAGTTAAGTAAAAATTGCAAGTATAAATGCTAAAACCAAGAAAGCTTAAGAATCTCCCTGAAGAAGCAAAGACGACATTTTGAGTTAAAAAATACAAACCAAAAAATTGTAGACCCTGAAGAATCACAGGAAAATAAAAAAAAAAAACACCAACCAAAAACCTCAGCCTTAGCATCAGTAGATTTACTGACAGTTTGCAGGCCACCAAACATGATTTTAAAAGTAGTCATGTCTGTCTTGCTGTTGACAACATCCAGAAGAATGCAAAGGAAAACACTTACAGTTAATGAGTGCTTTCATAAAAGAGGCAAATCACACCCAAAATAATTATAGTATGATTGCACAAACTGGAAAAAGATCTTTTATACCAAAAGCAGATTAGTTCTGCATTAACAGACCTTATAACAGGTGGCCAGACACACTTACAAGCATGCCAAATATAACCCAAGGTGTTGTATACCTAAAATTAATGCCTGCAATTTTTTTTTTTTGATAATTAAGGAATAGGGATGTGAAAGCACTTAACTCACATTTTTAAGTCCTCTTCCCACCATTTTATACATACATGTTGGATTCCTCCCATTTTTAAGTTAATTTTACATGGTGACTCATAAAATTGTAAGCAAATTATAAAACACTTCAAGAGAAAATGCTGTTTTCAGCTACTACAGCTACAATGACCAAATGCCAAGTAAAACCACTGTAAACCAATATTCCCTTTACTGGAGCACTTTGTGGGCCCAAACATGCAACAGATGAGCTCACTTATCACCATGAGCACAACTCCTCCAGTATTATTAGCAATTCTATAATTTTCAAACCAAATCTACCATTCACAACTCCAGTATTATTAGCAATTCTATAATTTTCAAACCAAATCTACCATCTTACCTAAAAGGATCATGAAAATCCAGGTCAATTTGAAGGCCGTTTAGAAATAAACGTGCTTCTCCAGGTTGGATTCCAAGTGTTTCATACAAGTGCTTAAAAATAAGAAGTACTGCTAAGTTATTTAGGACACTAACATACACATACAGATATTAATAAAAATATATAAAACTTTAAGTAATTCTCTACAACAGAAACATCACATCTCTTCCACATAATTTCTTCTTTTAGCTGAGTGGTGTTGGTAAAAATAATGACAGCATACTTTTATGAATGCTATTTAACAGACTTTCAATACTTAATACAAATAAAAATAGTTGATAATCCCCCCTCAAAACAACCTGCAGTGTCCATACCTGTACAAGGTATGGATAAGAACACATTCTCAGTGTCTGCTAAAAGAAAGTGAAAATACACTCAAATAAATACAGCTCAAAAGTTTTTGAAAATATACCCCCTGCATATTCTCATCTTCTACACATCCATTCACTTCAAACGGTGATAAAAGGGAGACCCCACATGCCCTTCAGACTTCCACTTGAACCTAGCTTCTCCATAGCTTAAAATCTTTCACAATTCCAAAAATTCATAGTCACAGTTGTTAGGGGGAGGTAAGAAAGATAGACTAGAAAAATACAATCTAACAAAGGGGCCTTGGGAAAAAAGAAAATTCACAAAGGGATAGTATAGCCTTGCTTTATATAAAGAAAAAAAAATTCACAATAAATAAATACAAGAGGAAGGAAGTGTTTAGGGACTAAGGGATGCCTTATCATTTTATTTCAGAGCTGTGAGGCACCACACTGTTCAATCTACAGTGGCTGTAGCAAGATAAGTAACAGGAGCAACAGCAGCAGTTTATTCCAACTCACCCCATGAGGAGCAGTCAGAGTTCCAGATCTGTCTTAATTCCCAAGAGAGAAATGGAAAGCAGCAAAAATAGGCAAGAGAAAAAAGCAAGCTGAGAAAGATAATTTTTTTCCCCATTTAGCTCCCACTTACTGAATAAAATAAGTGTGAACAAATAGCACACTTTGAACCAAAGCACACTTAGAGAGAGCAACTAAAGCTGCGTATATTACTGCACTTAGGAGCCTGCCACTAAACAAATTAGAGAAAAAATGGGACAGCTTTGAAAGTGATATTATTCCTTTCAAGTAGCATGGTTACTTTTACACAGTTAAATATAAGTAAGCTCAAAGCTAACTGGTTTGGGACGTTACAAGTTCAACCCCACATAAATGAGACAACAGTGTACTTGAAGCTCCTTGTAATCCAACAGATGTACATATTACTCATCATTCATTGAAACAGTACCATATTCCTTTATATATATAAACATTTTCAGAACCCAAAGCTGAATGGAAATACATAATGGCACCTAATATCAATTTACAAAAAGGCAGGGTTCACCATGAAGAAAAAATGCAGCTGTGATAAGCCCGAGCCTAACACAGAAAGAATTTTCATGGAAGACCAAAACCTGTCCTTGACCTTCAAAACCAGCTTTTGCAATTGGTAAACTTAATTATTTATAAAGGTGTAACCTGAACTTTGTAGTGCTTTCATTTTTTGTATGTAGATTTTTAAAAAAAGTAATAATTACTTATGTTTGTTATAAAGTATCTAAATATTTTTAATATATATAGATCTGAGTTTGAATATACAAAATGTGAAGAACATGGTGGATTTGGGGGTGACTGCATCCCACTAATGCTAAGCCTTTTTATTTTTTTTAAATTTAGTTAATTGTCTTTTATGAAAATTTTAGTAGGCACCTAAAGAAAAATAAATAACCAGAAAGCCTTTTTAAAAAAAAATTAGTTAATTGTCTTCTCTGAAAATTTTAGTAGGCACCTAAAGAAAAATATGGATGTCTGTGGGCCTTTCAAGAATGAGGACCATAAATACATGGCAGTAAGTTTCCTATGGTTGGATAGGGAAAAAAAAAAGAGAAAAGAGATAATTTAATTACTTTTCTAATTTATAAAACTCACTTTATTCCCAATCTTATACTAATTTAAATTACAGAAATGTTTTTTTGGCATATCCCAAAACTTGGTATAGAAGAGGAAGGACTTCTATCTTCTTTATAACTAACTGCTGCTTTGGATTACTCCAGCCCAAGTGCAGGACTCCATATTTATCTTTGTTAAATATCATGCAATCATTAAAACAAAAACTAGAAGTAGGAGCTGGTGTCTGATGTGCACGTTTTTCCTACCACAGCTTCACATGGAATTGCAAGCCCTCCCAAGGTCCCACTCTACACATCCCTTAGAAGCAGCCAACATTCATAGATGCCTGACAATGCCGAGTGTCCCTGCAGCACGTGGAATTTCCGATCATTTCACCTACACAGAGTTTGGTCCCAAGACACCATCAAAACGGGCAGATGGGACAAAATTAAATAGCCAGGCACACAGTGATAAAAATGCTCTGTACTGTGCAGAGAAGCACCCAAAATCTTAGGTAAATCTGAAATTTTTCCTGTAGTTACCAAATCCAACTTGGATTCCAGTTTTAAAACCAACATTGCGCCATGAAGTGGTATAACCACAGAAAAATCCCCTTTAATGCCACTGAACTCAAGGAGTGAACAATAAATATAAGGACTATTCCAGTCTCAAGAAGTCTTACCAGCATCTTTCAGGCTCTGGCACAGATCTTGTGAGATCAACTAGAACAGTCCCTTTCCTTGAAGCACTGAAGTTGGCATTTCAGATAAGAGATCTCTTACCACCCCTGAAAGCTTTCTGGTCACATTCTTATTAGCCCAGACACTCATGTAAACAGAGATACTGTGTAAGACTGCAACTGGCTGAGGTAAAAAACTAACCCTAAGAACAACTAACGCAAGAGCAATGATAAAAGTATCAGCCATCGAGTGTTGAAATGGGAGTCTAAAAGGTTTTCAAATCCTTCAGTACTGCAGTAGCAAACTGAGCCAAATCAGAGCTCAGACTTGTTATACAATTTTCATGCTAGGCATCTGACTGTTAAGAAGAGCATCCATTTGCCATAACAACTTTGATGGAAGGAGTATTTAGGCATATAAGACAAGAATTTCATGCTGATAATACTCACATAGTATTTTCTTGCTAAGCTGTCAGCAAATTATTGTACTGGAAGTTGTGAGTTGTGTTTAATGAGATTTTATTTCTCCTCTTATCTATAGCAGTTCTTTGTCTCTTTCTTACGTATCAATTCATTACACCTAAATCATCACATGCCTTTCAACTTTCAATACCTTTATTTCCTCCCGTTGCATTTCCTATTCGACTTTCATTATCTTGAGAGGGAATCATCCAGTTACACCCAGCATGAGATCGTATCTCTCCTGCTGCTAGATGGATGTACTGCAGTTCAAGAACGCACATGCCAATTTATTGTGCACCAGCAGCAGTGCTCAGGAAGTTTCCCTACTCCTATTAAACAGACTTTAGCTTTTAGCTGTCTAAAGGCCTGTACCCTCAGGAAGGATGCAGTATGAAATTTAAATGTAGTGGTTTAGGTGCTTAAGGCTCTCTTAATGTATTTAATACGGTCATGGAATCATAGGAGTGATTCAGTTGACCAACCACATAGATACCCAATGTCATTTGTCTCAGGATTAGGCATCTTAGACTGGAAGGTCTCAGACAGAAGGGAACAGATAGCCGTATGGGTCTGGTAGATGTGTCCACTGGGTATCTCGGATAGCCTGCGGCATCTCAAGTGACATGAGAAATTCAGGTTTAGGCAAACTCAGTCAAGCCCCATAAAACAATCACTGTTGGGGCTAAATTGTTTTTGATGTCCATTGACTACATCTTCATCGTCATAACAGGACCTTACACACCATATAGATGTGTCTAAATGCAGACATCTTCATTTCAAACCAAATCTTAGTTACTTTTCCTAATCCTTATACTTAGTAATAACAGCTATTTTGATTTCTGAGATACCTTTTTTTTTGCATTTTGCAGTAGAGGTTTTTGATTAAGCAGTTGTGGTTTATTTTTGTGTTAACAGAACTGCAGTTTGAGAAAGACATGGTAAAGACTTCACCAAAAAAACAAGGGAAGTCCCACTACCAACACTCACACTGTGGAGAAACTATGATCAAAAGGGCTTCGTTTTGCTTTATCCAAACTACTATAACCCAATCAACAAAGAGATCAAGAAAAATGTGCACCTCAGCTGCATTCAGAAAGCAATTAAGTGGAGTGCAAATACTGATTTGGCCCCTTGAGGAAAAACTACAGCACTTCTCACTAGTGCAAGAAACAAGTGGTCTGCATAATGTTGAGACCACTCTAAGATCTCTGTGAAAACCTAAAAGTCACACATGCACCCTGCACACAAGAAAGTTGAAGGGCTCACGAAGGTGAACTGCTAGGACATGGGAATTGTATTCTCAGTGCACCGGTGCCCCATGTAATCACCTATGGAGAAAAAAGAAGGCCTATAAAATGGTTTGCATAACCACAAGGATGTAACACTTGAGCCTCTCACTATTTGGGCAGGAAATACTCAAGACTGGAAAGCCTTACATTAGTTTTGCGTGGTAGAGAGCTCTAACACATTTATGTGAAATTTTTGCTGCAGTGGAGGTGACAAGCTCTTTAAAGGAAGGCTGCATCAGTGCAACAGGGACATCGTTCACTTTCACTGCTTAGGAAGGTGGAAGAAACTGAAAAGGCATTCCCTCTAGATACTAGTCTTGACAAGACTAGTATCTAAAGGCCTGAACAAAGCAAAACAATACATGGAAATGTTGCAAAAGTACAGGAGGGCCATAAGTAAGAAATAAATCCCTTTCAATATAGTGGTTGGTCAGTCTTAACACCATATGAAAATATATGTTCTGAAGATCAAAATTAAGGACAGTTCTATGTATGTCCTTTCATGTAAAAAGTCCTAAAAGCATGATGGCCAACCTTTAACACTCAACTTGAAAGAAAAAAAATCCAAACTTTGAACTAAGACAGAAAAAATCACAGATGTCACGATCTCTACAAACAAGAAGTGGCATCTTAGAATACATCTCAGACCAGTCAAAAAATCACATGAGCAATGGCTCCTCATGTGATACACAAAAGATGCAATGGCT